CCTAAGCACCCGTGAGTACCGACAATCACAATAATCAAGAGAAAAATCTTCTTGGGACGGGATTCGAACCCGCGCCGCTCAGTCACTAATAGACGCGTATAAATTGGTACATAAAGCAGACAGCATTAAGATTTTAATATTGACCATTCCTCACAGATTATACAACCCCATATTTTACTAATCATATAAAGATTATTCAAATGGCAAGTATTTTGATGGTCTACAGGTCAACAAAACAACAGCGTGGTGCACTTTCTAGAGTGAGGAGTGACAGTGAACCAGCGAGTTGTCGACAGCTCACAGTGTTCACACGATCATGATTCAGGCCGGTTATGAAGAAGCTTCTGATTGTTGCTTTGATTTCAGTCTTTGGTGGTATCTACGTTAACGAAATGATTGAGTCACATGGACAGACAAAAAATAAATAAAAAGTTCACCGGAGACCAATATCGACAAGTTTGTTTATTGATGTATCCATGTAAATGAAAATGTGCTACATCACTCATAAACAACGTCATGTCATTGTTATCCAACTGTTCAATCATGAGCTGTGCAAAATTAACACGTTGTGCATAATCCCCTGGTAACAGTTGTTGACAAACTTGGATTTTGTAAGGATGGAACACTAAATCCTTCTTCAAGATGCGACGTACAGAGAACGCGTGAATCCCTAGGAAACTGGCACGCGAACGGAAGGAACGATCCGGGCTTTGCAGCGTGTCAACTGTCACTCTGTCTACGTTTTCGGGGGTTCTAATAGTACGGTTTCGCCCTGGTGGTTTTTCTTCATCACATTACCTGTCGTGTTGAATGCTTCCACCCATCTAAAAATGGTGTTATGATCTGGTACGGTCCCACCACGTGGAACACGAAAGTGAACGCGAAACTCACGTTGCGATCGAACGACAGACTCGCCATTTTGAACGTACCGACGTACAGTGAACGCACGATGCTCAACGTTCGAAACCATCTTGCCAACTGAAACGGCACTTCCCCCACTATCCAACACGCCCCACCACACCGAAATGGGACCAGCCCACTCAATGTAGTACCCATTCGAAAGAAATGCGTTCTCGCTGACTGACCATGTACTGACATGAAGAAATTTTTGGAGTACAATTTCACAGACGCTGAAAAAGAAATGAACATGCTGCAGATTTAAAAAAATGCGACAAATATATGAAGTGCAGTTTGATTTCCCCGTAGAACGCGTTTACCACACATTGCAAAGGCAGGTTACGATCTACCCCCACAAAGTCCTATAATATTTTGAGACTTCTTATGAGTAGATTTTCAAGAACCACTGAAGGTATTATAAAAAAATATGTAGGATCTTCAATTTATCTTTAAATCGATGAATACAGTGAAATGCTCTGTATCTTAAAAACAAGAGTCAATGATAAGATTTCATGGCCATATTTGTTTTGGACTACTTATAACCCGAAAATAGATTTTTTGTTGGCCAGTGCAATATAGAAACAATATTGCCCGTTTCCAGGTTCCATTAGAAAATATGAACCTAAGTTTAGCAAAAGCGTTGACGTTGACGTTAAGAATGCCTTTACACTGCCGGTGGTAGCTGGTATCCCGCCAGTTGATTTGCTGGCTGCTGAGAGATGTGCACTATAATGAAAAGAGCGTCGAAGCTGGACCGATGAAAGAGAGGCGCTTTTCTTCAGACGGCAGCAGAGATAGGATGTAACTGGCCATCGAGCATGGGCGAGATATTAAAACTTGGATTGACAAGGTGCTGATAGACTACTATACTGCACAGTTCCTCACAGGAAATGGTTGTTTTGATAGCTACCTGAATCACCTACTCCAATGTGGTAGGAGGGTTGACTACCAGATACAGCCGGAACAAATTATCGGCATGAAGCTCATTGCTGACAGTTTTGCCACGATATGAAAACCTAACGCAACGCACACTATGAACCATCACCGTGTGGTATGTGTGTCGAACGACAATACTGTCGAGCTTTTCTGCCTGTGAGTGGCTATAAAAGGTCGTTATATTTGAATTTAGCGTCCCAAATTATCAGGTAATGTAAGACGAACAGGCCCAAGTTGCCTTTTATTAAATAGGTCAGTCTTGGGAACTAGCACATAAGAGGACCATAAGGGCTCATTAAGTGGTCTATACACTAGTTATCTGATTACTTCGTCGCTTTTCGGTCATTAACCCATTAACGCCCGCTGTACTCAAGCGAGTACACTCGTGTTTGTTCCTATCAGAGCCATCTCTGAGTCAACCACAGAAGTACTGCCTCTTATAAACAATTGTGGATGGTACATGCGACAGCGCGCAAGAGCCATTTTTCATAAATTCTGTGAGTGTGTCGTTGTTTACAGTAATAATATACTAAGTGACATATAAATCCGAACACCCAGTTTAACTGGTTTTATTTTAATAAAATTTTGTATAAGTACTTAATGAAGCATAATAAGTAAATGATAAAAATTTGAAAATGATTGCACTGCTTTAAAGCCCTTTGACCTTTAATAATGTGTGGATGCACCCTGATGTGCTACGCATTCTCCAACGCGCCTAGGCATGCTTCTGATCAGGTGGTCAATGTCCTCCTGTGGTATCTCATTCCAGGCAACCACCAACTCCTCTCGAAGTGCTTCTAGAGCCTGAGGAGGACGTTGCAAATTGAGCAATCTCCTACCCATCATATCCCACACGTGCTCAATTGGGGATAAGTTGGGAGATCTTGGTGGCCATGGTAACAATGTGACATCATTATGTTGAAAGAGAACTTCGTGGATATAACGCTGCGCGTTCATGTTACCTCTGATGAAGATTAAAGGTGACCTGGACCATAAGCTATAGCACCCCAAACCATAACTCCAACAGTGTGATGAACATGTCTTTCAACAAAAAACTGTGGATTCCTCCTTTCACCACATCGCCTTCTAACCCTGGCACGACCATCGTGCATGCCTAAACAAAATCGAGACTCGTCACTAAAGACAATACTGTTCCATTCCTGATCCCAGAGTGACCGTTGTCTGCACCACTCAAGGCGATTACGTCGGTGTTCTCGAGTTAAAGGGAGGACCCAGTGTGGCCGGTATGAAAACAAGCCAAAACTTCTCATTCGTCGGTAAACACTTCGCATGCCAATAGGTCTTCCGTGTTCTGCAAACCATTCATTTGCAATGGACCTGGTAGTGTAGAAACGGTCCCTTAAGGCCAATAATCTTAGGCGGCGATCTTCACGGTCTGTTGTTCTACGGCGGCGTCCAGTGCCCCTTGCTCTTTGCGTACGGCCTTCTCGAAGCCATGCCTGACAACACCTAACCACAGTGTCTACACTTCTTTGCACTCTAACTGCAATTGCCCGAAAAGAAAGTCCAGCTTCCCGAAGTCCCACTATACGGCCCCTAACAAACTCACTAAGTTGACGAAATCGTACAGGTCTCCGTACTCTAGGCATCGTAACCGATCGTAAAGGATGTCAAGAACCAAAATCCGCCAACGTTGATTCTTTACTGCGGCTGAAATGTTCATTTTTAGAGCGTTAGTGAATTAAAAAAAAGCAGTATAAAAACCGGAATGTCCAACTGATAAGTCTGAAAATTTTTTCACTTGTTATTTACAGTAAGATAAATATATTCACCAACTTTTATTAAAATAAAACCATTTAAACTGGGTGTTCGGATTTATATGTCACTTAGTATATAAGTTATTGCTTATTTGATCTAAGGTAAGTTCGGATTTTACATTACATAATTTTTTCTCATTGAGATGACCATCTAATAAACATAATCTTTTTATATTATGAATATGTAAAGGTTGTTTGTTTGATTTGCCAGGCACAAATTATTCTAACTGATTTGATGTAATTAGAATGTATGTTCAAGTTTGACTGTACTCAAATGAGTACACTTGGCAAATTCGTTATCAGTCGACTAATGCTATTTTTTTTGTTTTAGATATGTATAAATCGTTTTTTGATGATCCTGTTAAAACATACGAGTATTTCAATTTTCTGTCTGATGCTCGAGATGATTTAAAAGATAACGATGATGTTGTGGTCTTGCCTCCAGACGCGCGTTATTTTTTGACTGACAAGGAGGAATTGGACGAAAAGTAACTGATGGCAAATGGAATGCCACAAGATGTTTCTGGTCGTTTATAGCTGTTTCGCCAAAGTTCAGCTAATGACGAGTTCTGAAGCAGCGACGAAGAGCATTTGAGTGAAGTGCGAAAACGTATACAAATACCTAAATAAATCTAAACACGATGACTTGGACTGGGAGGCATGCAATCCTGAATATTCCATTTGGTCTGAGCCGCCACCGTTATGTGAAATGAATGCCAATAGGGATAAACTAGTGAAAGAGATAAAGGATTTAAATCCAGTACAATTATTTGAATTTTTCTTTGATGATACGGTTTTGCGGCATATTGTCGATCAGTCCATGTTATATGCATCTCAAAATACTCGACACCAAATAAATTCGGACATTTTCCTGCGAAGCTAGAGAAGCAATTACGATGTACAGTATGCCATTCAAGGGTTCGTCAACACTACGTATTGAGCATGGCTGCTTCAAGTTACATCATACAAAATAAACGGTTTCGCCCATTGTACTCAAATGAGTACATGTATTTTTTTGGTAAAAATAATAAAATATATGTGGTTTTATGATCTTCAGTTTCTATTTTAGTCCTAATTACCTACCTTATATGCATAATATCCATTTTTCATGTTCAAGTTTAATTTGGACGTTAATGGGTTAATATTCATTTTCATTTCATTTTTATCGCAGTACGTCTAAAGCGGAGTCATAAAATCATACGCAACATCATACCTAATTCTAACGAAGTATTCATAACAAATGTAACTTACGACAAAAATGTTGACCTAACTAAATATCAACATCCCTTTCTATTTTTCAACCCATATACATATAGAACAATTGCGTTCCTTCCCCTTTAGCACGCCATTGTGATTCCAACCCCTGTACGTTGGGTGCTGTGCGGGGCCGCATCTGTCAATTTTTCAACCCTAGTAACATCTCCACGTCCCACTAGAACGTACAATCTTTTCAATTAACTTACATTTAGTTTGTTTATAAGCAAAATTGACCGCGCAAGAACAAAAAGAGTCTGACATTCAAATTTTGGTGAGTCTGTGAGGAAGTGATTACTGACGTTATTATTTTGACCATGGGAAGCAACGGGCATAATCCAAGCTCATCGCAGATTATTTGATACAGCAAAATATCACAAAAAAACAGTGTGAAGGGATGGTTCCTAAGACCATAGATAGGCATGTGCCTATTTTGTCTAGATGAGAGTGATAGAAGATTCATTGTGGAGATAGTTTAGTGAAAAATAGCTGAAGATAATGAAGTCCTTTGAGTGCGAATCCTCTTCAGAAGGTGATGAACCTACCAGTCACTCTATCTCGCGAGTGGAAATCAAAACACCGCAGTGGTTGAGAGGGAATGTTCCTGGCAATTGGGGCTGGCAAGCACCGGTAAGAATTCAATTTTGAATAAAATCCTTATATAAAACTTACATTTTTATGTTATCAAAATATCATCACTACATCTATGAAGTACCTACATTGTTGCTTTTGACAGAAATGTTGTTCTCCTAAGGAAATTTCTATCTTATGACTTCCCAGAAGGGCTTTTCATTTGTTGTTGCTGGTTAGGGATTTTGTCTCACGATATCAACAACCTGGGATCAGTTTTGGTTTTAATGTTATTTCCCCATGTTTTCTACATTAACGAGCTTTTCAAATCATCGTAATAAGGCACAATTGCAGCATGAGATAATTCTAAATACTGAGCGTGACGTCATATGGCGAAAGCTTTTTAAAACTCTAACTAAATGTCACTAAAAAAGCATCTAGTATTGATAAACGGCACCGGTATTATCTAAAAAAACCGTCAAAAAAACTGTAAAATGTGATCTGGCGGACTATGTAGTTTTTAGGGTGCAAACGTGTGCTCACTAGGATTGTTGTGAGCATCCATCTATGGAGGAATGTCTCAACTACACGTATTGTTGGTTGCATATGTTTTGTGAAGCCGAGTAGTCTGTGGTTTTCATCTCTGAGAAGAAAATTGGTTATATATATATATATATATATATTTTTGAGACGTGGTCATTGTCGTCTAGACCAGTTAGGTGAAAAATTAAAGCTTCCGCCTTTTGTTGGGTACTTCGACAAAATTTAAGCAAAGAGGACTCTTTATATTTTTTTAATTCTCTCTAGCTTTCAATGGACTTTGCCATCATCATCAGGAGAGTAGTATGTGAGGATGTTGCTAATTGTTGTTTACGTATAGGATGAGGGAAACGTCCAGTAACATGGTGAGAGCTGGATAGATGGTACAATGGTCAAAATTATATAAAATATGACAAGAACAAGTTAAAAACAGATTAAAAATTATTTAAAAACATTAGAGCATTACATCGTGAAGGTGCAATCATCAAGTGGCTTCACGATGTAATGCTCTAATGTTTTTAAATAATTTTTAATCTGTTTTTAACTTGTTCTTGTCATATTTTATATAATTTTGACCATTGTACCATCTATCCAGCTCTCACCATGTTACTGGACGTTTCCCTCATCCTATACATAATCAACAATTAGCAACATCCTCACATACTACTCTCCTGATGATGATGGCAAAGTCCATTGAAAGCTAGAGAGAATTAAAAAAGTATAAAGAGTCCTCTTTGCTTAAATTTTGTCGAAGTACCCAACAAAAGGCGGAAGCTTTAATTTTTCACCTTTATATATATATATATATATATATGTATATATATATATATATATATATATATATATTATATTATAATTATTTCTTCTTTCTTCTTCATTTTTGAAATTCAACAAATTTGCATTCGTAATTTCCAGAATGGATAATAAAAAGTGGATGCGCAACTAATTTCTAACTTCTCAAGTAAGTGTATTTGAAACAAGAATCCAATGGAATTATCATCAATCATCAATTTAGGGAGAAAGAAGGAAAGAAAAAGGAAGGTAAAGAGGAAAGAAGAGGAAGCCCGGTTTTTAGAGGGGACTTAGCATCGGTAACTAAGGGTTGTATCGTTAGTTTATTCCTACAATTGTAGGACGGCTTTATAGTATTTCTTCTCCTTCAGAAAGGCTGGGGTAGTTCTAGATTTCTAATGTTCCGTGCTAGCGTCAGTACTTTCCTATTTTGAGGCTATGTTTTCTTTTTGAATTGTATGAAATTTGAGGCTTATATAACGGATGGTGTAAATCAAAAGCATGAACAAATCCATGCAAATAGATATTTGTAACATAACCTCAAAATAGAGCGCTGACACGGAACAGTAGAAAACTATGAAAATCAAGGAGCCCATAAAGGCCTCCTACAATTGCAGGAACGACTGACGATACGGCCCTTAGGGCTCCTTGATTTTCAATAAGGCTGGGGTATTTCTAGATTTCTACAGCTAGTTATCTTTTTTAATCATAGGGAAACTTCAGGCTGATATAACAGATGATAAAAATCAAAAGCATGAACAATTTAATAAAAATGGATATTTGTAACATAACCTCAAAATAGAGCGCTAACAGATATCTAGAAATACCCCTGCCTTTCTGAATGACAGGAAAAACTATGAAGAGGATCAAGGAGGCCACAAAAACGATACAGGGCTAAACTATGGACTTCTTAAGCTAAGTAGGGGCCTGTGGCTGGCACCCAGGATAGAAGAATATTCAAGGCCTCACCTTTCAGCTGAGGCAAATCGAAGTGAAGGGGTCACTCAGACACGATTCTTGAAATTTCGATTTTCGTACCTTTTTGGCTCCTGGGCAAAGTCTGTGGAACTTCAAACTGATCTAGAAAATTTATCTCGAGGTTTATCATTATGCAAATTCGTTGGCCCTAACTTTAACCGATTTATGTTTTATTTTGTTCACAATGGGAGCCGGGGTGTTATTCTTTAGAAGATAATTGAGTCCATACTTAGAAATATCCTAATACTTCGTTGCCCCTAGGGTACCTCAGGCGGGCCAAGTCATCACCAACAACCTCCCCTCGACCCTCATCACCATTCTCCCTTTGGAGCGAACTACTCGTCCAGTTCTCAAGAGGAGGGCCAAACGCCTGGTAGGCGAACGCCGTTGGGAGCAGTGGGACTGGGCGGATTCTACTTCCAGGGATGCCCTACCAACGTCAGCAATCAACAAGAGGTGCATAGCGATGAGAACAACCCTGATCCTCCTGGATGTTCTGCCGGTCAGGCGGGGAACAGGTTAGTAGGAAAATAGCCCAACTAACAATTATCACTCCTGTTAGAGTTGCAAGAATGATTATACAGTATTCCTTACACAGCATTGTATACTGTAAGAACATTGGCAAAACCCTCTTAGAACAGCTATACAAGCGGAATGGGCACACCTAATAGGACACTTTAGTCATTTAAGAGGTTGTATAAGGGCTGCAGGTAACAGTTATACAACAAAAGTGTAAGCCACTTGCAGCCGCTATAGGACATTTGCGTCAGTGCAAGATTCAGTTTTTGTCAACTATACAACTATTCTGTTACGTGATTCTACTTTATTGCAGCCAAACTATTTCTTAAGGTGGCTACACACACAACTGCAAGCTTGTCCAGCATGCTTATTCAATCTTTTTGTACAAGTATGCACAATTTGCCTTTGGCACCACACGTACAAGCATGCTTGATAAAAATAGAGGTAGTTTAATTAAATATGTCGAACTCCGACGACGATTCGCTCGCTTTGGCCGCTTTTGTTCTTGTGAAGAAAAGAAAATCCCGAATAAAAAACCGTGCGGTGTGGGGTAAAGAATGGTTGATAAAAGGGAAAACCTATTCTCACATTTATTCACTAAGTGAGCTGAAAATATATCCGCGTGACTGGCACAATTATCTTAGAATGGATGAAGAGATGTATTAAAACCTTGTCTCTTGTATCACCTTTGATTCAAAAGCAGGATACGATCATCAACGGACCCCAACTTGTGCATGCTAATTCAAGCATGCATAACTAAAATCAATTCAAACCTCAAGCTGCTTGTACAATTACAAAGCCTGCACCACATTTCCCTACAGACATTCAAGCGAGCTTGTACAAAAACATTGAACAAGCATGCTGGACAAGCTTGCAGTTGTGTCTGTAGAAACCTTTATGTATTGTATAGACGAAGTGAAGAATATATAACTGTGATATAGGGCTATTGAATTACTTGCGCAGCAAATTTTATTATGATTATCGCGCAAAGTAGTTACGCAATTTCTACGGGCTTCGTATTTGATTCATATTTTGATAATGATCAAAAGTATGTCTAGATTTTTAAGATGGAAAACTGAACTTATCTGCGTTAAATCTTCCACAAATCCTATATTTAGACACAATTACACTAATGTTTATCACTTTATTTCTATAATTTCGAACTGAAACATTATTATTTAATATCAAATAGAGGGATAAATGTTTTCCCGATATGGCGGGTGATTGTGTATAATCATGGCATCGTCCATGTTGTCTTTAGTTTATTAGAATACTTTGGTGTTGCCTGCAGGCGTTATACAACAATTTGACAAATGTCAGAAATGAAATACCGACAGAGTCGAATGATTTACCTAGAATTTGTACCAGATCTATATCTTCTGTTTGAACAGTTGATAAAACCTTTTTAACCAAATGCATGCGTTGTTTGCCTTAAAACATTGGTTATGGCATTTTAACAAAAATATGACAGCAGAAAGTTAGGTTATGGTGAAGTTGTATAGCAACATATTTAGCATATGTACAGCCTTTAACAGTTACTAACAGTTGTATAAGTGCTTCCGTTGGGAGCAATTTGTTGGCTAAAGTAGCAAAACAACAAGGCTCGAGTTTGTTTTATAAACGTTACCATGGATGCCACAACACAACCATTTTGACTAACCTGCAAATATGCCATACAAAATAGTCGTATAAAGGTTTATGCAACAGTTAAAAATTTGTCCTATAAGGTGTTGTGTAACTATGCTATAAGAATATTTTAAACACCTCATTTTAGAGCAAATATGTTGCAGAAAGCAAATTTGCATTCCACACAACATTAAGCCAGCATTTTGGTGTTCAGGCAACAACAATAGAGAGCTTTTATAGCTGAACGGTTCTTTTACCAAAAGCTTACAGCACTACCTTGCTAGTTGTGAGGTAATCGCTAATCTGGAGCTTTCTAGGGATATGGGGCAACGGGCTTTGCTCCATTATGATGGCAACGGGTTGAGGTTTCCTCGAAGGCACTTCTGGGTAGGTCATATGATTGCTCTGGAGCTCTAAAGTCCTCTCTGAATACGAAGTTGATGAAGAATATTCCCGGGAAGTCATGGTCCCTAAAGTCTCGGGATTTCCAAATATACTAAGTGACATATAAATCCGAACACCCAGTTTAAATGGTTTTATTTTAATAAAAGTTGGTGAATGTATTTATCTTACTGTAAATAACAAGTGAAAAAAGTTTCAGCCTTATCAGTTGGATATTCCGGTTTTTATACTGCTTTTTTTTAATTCACTAACGCTCTAAAAATGAATATTTCAGCCGCAGTAAAGAATCAACGTTGGCGGATTTTGGTTCTTGACATCCTTTACGATCGGTTACGATGCCTAGAGTACGGAGACCTGTACGATTTCGTCAACTTAGTGAGTTTGATAGGGGCCGTATAGTGGGACTTCGGGAAGCTGGAATTTCTTTTCGGGCAATTGCAGTTAGAGTGCAAAGAAGTGTAGACACTGTGGTTAGGTGTTGTCAGGCATGGCTTCGAGAAGGCCGTACGCAAAGAGCAAGGGGCACTGGACGCCGCCGTAGAACAACAGACCGTGAAGATCGCCGCCTAAGATTATTGGCCTTAAGGGACCGTTTCTCCACTACCAGGTGCATTGCAAATGAATGGTTTGCAGAACACGGAAGACCTATTGGCATGCGAAGTGTTTACCAACGAATGAGAAGTTTTGGCTTGTTTTCATACCGGCCACACTGGGTCCTCCCTTTAACTCGAGAACACCGACGTAATCGCCTTGAGTGGTGCAGACAACGGTCACTCTGGGATCAGGAATGGAACAGTATTGTCTTTAGTGACGAGTCTCGATCTTGTTTAGGCATGCACGATGGTCGTGGTGAAAGGAGGAATTCACAGTTTTTTGTTGAAAGACATGTTCATCACACTGTTGCAGTTATGGTTTGGGGTGCTATAGCTTATGGTTCCAGGTCACCTTAAATCTGCATCAGAGGTAACATGAACGCGCAGCGTTATATCCACGAAGTTCTAGAACCCCATCTTTTACCCTATCTTGACACCCTGGCAGATCCAACTTTCCAACAAGATAATGCCCGACCACATGTTGCAGGAGTCACAATATACTACGTGTGGGATATGATGGGTAGGAGATTGCTCAATTTGCAACGTCCTCCTCAGACTCTAGAAGCACTTCGAGAGGAGTTGGTGGTTGCCTGGAATGAGATACCACAGGAGGACATTGACCACCTGATCAGAAGCATGCCTAGGCGCGTTGGAGAATGCGTAGCACATCAGGGTGCATCCACACATTATTAAAGGTCAAAGGGCTTTAAAGCAGTGCAATCATTTTGAAATTTTTATCATTTACTTATTATGCTTCATTAAAGACTTATACACAATTTTATTGAAATAAAACCATTTAAACTGGGTGTTCGGATTTATATGTCACTTAGTATATTACTTTAAAAATAAAAATCGAACCACTATGAAACATTCAGCAATAACAAAAAATACATACATGTGTAACAATTTTCGAAAATACCTCACAGGAATGGTAACATTACTGCCAGATGATACGCGTAATTCTCCAAGTAATTCCTCTGCTTGCGATGTCAGTAATTCGAATATTCGAAATGGAAACGCAAAATAGGCTATGGTCGCAGCCAACTGCGCTAAATAGCTGAGCAGGAAGAAAAAACAACGCTGATCGCGGGTGGTTACGATGAATATGAAAGGAGACAATAGACAACTGGGAAGAAGTTTCGAGAAAGCATTATGAGTTACAGTTTCTAAAACTTCCCAACACGGATTTATCGAAAACCACTGATTAAAAGAAAAACGTCGAGACACGTCAAAAGATTTGTCAAGGGGTACAACTTTTTAACCAAAAACTACTTCACAGCCTTTTAGCCTATATCATTGTTTGGCAAGTAACGGGCAACATTTCGAACACTTATTGAAATAAAAAGTGATATTTTAGTGTGTTTTTGTTATCTATTTGAACAAATAACGATATACTTTGAAGTTGAGTCATTAATTTTCAGATAATGATTGTAGAAGGAAGATAAACCAAAATATGTGTGTAAAAATAAAAAAAAAATAAAAAAAAATTTTTACCTTGTTTTATAAAGTATCCTCCCGACAAGTATTTCAGTGCGGACCTGTATTTGATCGTGAGGTCCCCTGTGAGGTCTTAAGTCACCTGATTCACAAGCCCATTGTACTACATTAACAAAGGCACGAGGGGTTGGTTGCACTCGATTGGGAAACCGATCCGCATAAACATGTGCCATTTTTTATTTCGTTTGAGCCACGCAACACATACCACTATTCACTGACACTAACTGTATACAAATGAATGAGATACCTGTAAAAACATCGTTCCAAATTCTTTCGCTTTTTTGTTTCCGATGCGATGAACCGATACGGCGGATTATATCCATTGTCGCCAAACACGACCACATAATATTGTTATTGAGACAGGGCGGTACTCAAACTTCCAAAGGGCTATAACTTTGTTACTTTAATTTTACCACGAAAATGGTAAAGGAAAAAAACATTTCTTTTGATCAGATCTACTCACTGTTAAAATAAATGACTCAACTTCGAAGTATAAAGATGTTTCTAATTTTCTTGAGAACCAATCGACCGATTTAAAAAAATCAAACGTCAAAATAAAGGACTTCGAAAGGCCTTTTAAACAAGCTATTACTAGATACCCCTTGTCAATAATTCTTAGGGGATGACCCTGGAGGGCAGAGGGTGAAGTAGTTTTCGGTTAAAAAGTTGTACCCCTTGACATCTCTTGACGTGTTTTCTTTCATTCAGTGGTTTTTGATAAATCCGTGCTGAGAAGTTTTAAAATGAACACCCTGTATATTTTTTTCAATATAGCTTTAAAAGCTGAGGGTTTGTTTGGTTTTTAGGCCTCATCAAGATCCTCGGATGCAAAACTCACAACATGCGACCTCAACCAAAGGTAAAAATAGGCAAGGAAAATCGGTGCGACTGAACATAAATGCAAGAGAGAGAAGGAGGATGCATGATTTGAACGATGCACTTGATGAACTAAGGTATGTCCTCCATTTCACTAGTATGTTTTTGTTGAATCGGTAAAACGAAAAATTCTCCTAAATTGTTGTAAACGGTTACGGTTGATCGAGCCGTATATACTTTTTTCACTACTAACCCGAGAAATCAACATTACTGATCGCAATGACTTATTCAGAAGTATTATTTCGCTCTATAGGTAAATAATGAAAACAAAAAACGTAAATCAAATCCAAGCGAATAACCAAAATGTCTGTGTTATGTGCCGCGGTTATAATATGGTTCAAGATGACACACGGGATGATGACGTCAGTTACACGAATCGCTTGAACGCGTTGGTTTTAACCGCGGTTTTGTTGCAAGTTGTTTATTTTAGAAAAGCGCGAATACGGGTGTTTCAGTTTATTGTTGCATAACTTTAAGATTCGATAGAACTTTTAAAATTAATGCATAAAGTCTATATAAACATGGGTCGAAAAATGCGTGGGTGTTTAAATTTACTTTCCAAAATAGTTTTTTTTAAATATTTCGAACAATATTTGATGTAAAACAGTGAAAATTGGTATACAAGGGTTTTTTGGTACGACAAAACGAACCATGGGCATAGTTTTACTGTAGCCGCTAGAGGGCGCTGTCTACTGTACCTGTAGTGTATTAAAATGACCGAAAATTTTTTCTTAGTGCAATTTTTTGCTTTTTGAATAAAAAAACTGATTCTTCGCACTTTTCAACATAAAAAAGCTCTCTTATGAATTTTCGTTATAGTTAGCCGTTTTTGAGATATTTCGATTTTCAAGGTTCGATGCATTTTTAATTATTCATGATAAAATAACGTTAAAAAGTCAGTATCTCTATAATTTTTAGAAGTAGGCTGTGCCTGCAAATATTTTTGAAATCGAAAACAGAATAAGGTTAAACGTCAATTAGTTGACAGTTAGTTTTGTTGTCTGTTGAAACCTGAAACGTTTTTTTGCAATTGTGAATGCACGAAATTTAGTTTCTTTTACCTGTTTTTTTTTTGTAAGTTTTATAAAAATGCCATTTTTATTCTCCAATCAAGAGTTAGCGGATATTCATTTTGTGTATGGCTTTGTAAATGGAAACGCAGCAGAAGCAGCCAGAGAATACGCACGAAGATTTCCAAACAGACGACATCCAACTCGCTCAGTATTTGTAAGAGTGCATCGCCAAATAATTGAAAATGGTTTTGGAAATCTCCAAAGGGATCAAAACATAAATGTTCGTCAGCGCAGATTTACCCGTATGATTCTGCGTGAGTTTGATAGAGATCCGACCACAGGTGTTAGGAGAGTTTCTGGTGCCTTGGGAATTTCAGCAAGCCATGTTCACCGTGTTCTTAGAAATGACCATAGACGTCCTTACCATTTGCAACCTGTGCAAGGACTACAGCCAGGGGACGGAGAACGAAGAATCACATTTTGTCAGTGGATTCTTGATAGAACTGATAATAATAGGGAGTTTTTAAGTAACGTTTTATGGACCGATGAGTCATGCTTCACTAGACGTGGAGTGGTAAATTTTCATAATCAACATATTTGGTCGCATGAAAATCCGCATGCAGTTCGGGAAAGAAATTTTCAGCATGAATTGGGTTTACATTTCGAGCAACTACTTTAGATTTTGTATGTTTGTCCTAACTATCCAATAGCATTTTAGTTGTAAATAATTAATTTAATTTGTTAAAAATAATATTGGAAAATTAAACAAATTAATATTCTGTTTTTTTGTGTTTATTTGGAGTTAGGAATTATTGCTGTGTTTAAAAACACAATCTAAACGATCATCTTAATTACTTGTAATGCCCAAGTCGAAAATGTAAAAAAAAAATATTATTTTCCCATAAATAATTAAAAATGCATCGAACCTTAAAAATCGAAATATTTCAAAAACGGCTAACTATAACGAAAACTTACAGGAGAGCTGTTTTATGTTGAAAAGTACGAAGACTCAGTTTTTTTATTCAAAAAGCAAAAAATTGCACAAAGAAAAATTTTTCGATCATTTTAATACACTACAGGTACAGTAGAGAGCGCCCTCTAGCGGCTACAGTAAAACTATGCCGGTGGTTCGTTTTGTCGTACCAAAAAACCCTTGTATACCAATGTTCACTGTTATACATCAAATATTGTTCGAAATATTTAAAAAAACTATTTTAGAAAGTAAATTTAAACACCCTGTATTTCGGAAGCCACGCATTTTTCGACCCATGTTTATATAAACTTTATGCATTAATTTTAAAAGTTCTATCGAATCTTAAAGTTATGCAGCAATAAACTGAAACACCCTGTATAATCTCTGATTATTTTTATTATCACTTAATAATCGGTGCTTTTTCGTCTACAACTGTGTATGGAAAGTCTAAAAAAGAAACCTTTCATAATATTCATGGGAGAAATGTTTTCTTTTTCAGATTTTTCTTTTTTTAATGATGGAACCATGGCTTTGTAGCTATGATAACTTTCGATTCTCTAAATTTTTCCGCATGTCAAAGAAAATATACATTGATTCAGCAGAAATGATGAAAATAGATATTAGCAAAGCTGAATACAGGTGGACATCATCTAGTGAGTTTATATGGCCATATTTTAATATTCTTGTGGTATATGGCTACACAGGATAGGTACTTTGTTAAGCATAGGAACTACATTTGAAGTGTCCCCAATAACAGTGACGGGTATAACTAAAAAGGTGCTCCACTTTATGGTAAAACTGAAGTCAGCCTATATCAAGTTTCCCAAAAATAAAGCTGAAGTACAATAACAATATCCAATACCCGGCAAAATTTTAACTTGTCACATTTCAAATAATAACCAGAAACATAAAACAACTCCTGTTGGGTAAATACCACAATTTTACGGTGATAACTATGACATATAACAGCTGATTCATGACGTCACGGATCTTATAACCAAACTGATAACAACACTCGCTTGAACGGATCGGTAAATACCAACCCAAAATGGTAAATACCATTTTCATTTGCTTATCCGCTTGAATTTGATTTTATACTCGTAGGTAAATAATCTCTCAATTTATGTCAGATTGACAGCTGAACGTCATACTTCGAAATATTGATAGTAGAAGATCCGAATTAGAAGAATCTGAAGATATGTGAAAAGTACTTAATATCTAATTTTGTATGTTACAGAATATATTGCGAGCGGGTTGGCTAAAAAATTCCTGTCTTGGCTATGATTAATTAAAAATTGACTTTTTTTTCACAAGTTGCTCTAATAAGTTTACTCAATCGATCTAATACCAACCGAACTTATAGAGCCTATAGAATATGTAAATTGTGGGTTGTCTATTTCTTTCCTGTCGTAACTACTGGTTTGCCAGGTATAAATACGAGGGTTGTCTCAAAAATAGGGTTCCCAAATTTTTTCAGACACAAGGAATTTTTTATTTGAAAAAACGAATTTGCCATTGGAAACGTTGATCTTTGAGCTATTTGTCTATACAGTCGCCATTCTTCCTACTCATTTCATAGAAAATGATGTTAATATAGAAAAAAAATCATCGCACACAGCTGTTTTAAATGATTCATGACTAATATTCCAAAGAATTTGTAGAATGAATTGGAAACATCATGCACATAATTTAAAATCAAGTTTTTTTGTAATACAGGGTGGCGCATCAAAAACGAAACAGACGCATTTACTGGCAGCTGAGTTTTTTTTTGGAAAAACGCTCAGACTCGTCGATTTTGAACATGTGCAGCCCCCTGGGGGGGGGGGGGGTGACACCAACCCTAAAATCTTAAATGGAAAGGAGGGTCGAGTGATACCTTATTTTAAAGGTCTTTCAATTCCTTTTATAATGATATTAAATACATTAGTTTATACTACTTTCAGTAGAAATTTGACTAAAAGAATTTACTTAATAAATAAATGCTTTTCTTCACTACGCCCTTGGTTCGTTTATCATTTTGTTGTTGAAAATAGCTATATTAGCGTTTTTTTTGTGTGGCAAAAAAGTTATTTCTTGAAGAAAGATAAGGAAATATCTCGTACTTATTTTAAATAGCTTGTAACGCTTTATTACATAAATTAACCATGGTATATTCCACAGCAGAAAGAGTTAAAATTATCGAAATATTTTTCGGAAATAATCAGTGCACTAATAGAACAGCAGAAATATTTAATGAGCGACATGAGAACAGTAACGTGCATCGAAAATATGTTTTAGAACTTGTAGCTAAATTTCGGGAAATTGGGTCAGTCGCCAATAAAAAATGCAACATTGAAAATCCCATGAGGAACGAAGCAATAGAAGTGGGAGTTTTTTGGGGAAGTTTATGTAGATCCTTCGTTAAGTAAGCGCAAATTGGAGACTGTGTGTGGTGTTAGTCGACGTACTGTCCAACAGATTCTAAAGGCCCATAGTTTCATCCCCCACAGGGGGCACTGGTCTCTCCTGGGGATCCGCTTTGACTTTAAAATTTGTATATCTAGCATTCTTTCGTGCACAACTTTGAGAATTTTTCAGGATTTATCCCCTCTGAAAAAATTGCTACCTCTGCTCATCAAATTATCGCGGCAGGTACAATTTCACAAAAAGTTATCTCTTAATAATGATCAGCACCCCTGATAAAAATTCCTGTAGGTACCCATGGACAGCAATATTATTGTTTTAATAAAAAACGAAATGTCAATTGTAGTAACATATCAACACAATTCAATGTTTCCCTAATTTTTGATTTATGCAGGTGCCAACAAAGTCTAGGGAATAATACTGATTTGTTTGTAGAAAAATGTATGGGATTTATATAATATATATATATATATATATATATAAAGGGTGTCCCAAAATTAACGCAAGATTTGAATTTGCCGCCATTTGTGCAGTGAAGTGTTGGCAACCCTGAAAAAAAGCAATTTGACAGCTAACAGTATAGGGTTATGAAAAATGGAGCGTTACACGATAGAACAACGTGTCTTCATTATTAAAGAATATTTCAAAAATAGTGAAAGCTTGGCGGCTGCAGTTCGAAAATTTCATACAAAATATGGCCGGAATAGTGTTTTAACTTCGTCAACTGTGAAGAGATTAATTGAAAAATTCATGGAGACTGGATCCGTTGGAGACGCCAAACACACTGGTCGTCCAAAAACAAGCCGTTCAAATGTGAATATCGAAGCAGTGCGTGAGAGTGCTGCGGACAATCCAGGAACCTCAATTCGACGTCGTGGACAAGAGTTGCAAATGTCAAGAACCTCTCTACAGCGTATACTCACCAAATATCTGTGTCTTCATGCTTACAAACTTCAATTAACACAACAATTGAAGCTTAATGACCATGCAGAGAGAAGAGAGTTTGTTGAATGGATTATTGAACATCAACAAATGGACCCTGATTTTTCAAGCAAAATCATCCTAAGCGATGAAGCACATTTTCATCTTGATGGCTTTGTCAATCGCCAAAATTGCCGCATTTGGGGTTCGGAGAACCCACGTGTGATTGTCGAAAAAGAAATGCACCCACAACGCGTGACTGTCTGGTGTGGATTTTGGGCTGGAGGCATAATTGGGCCATATTTTTTTGAAAATGATGCTGGTCAAGCAGTGACTGATACTGGTGCTCGATATCGCGACATGATTACACAGTTCTTTCTGCCAAAATTGAATGATATTGATGTACCCAATATGTGGTTTCAACAAGACGGTGCCACATGTCATACAGCCCGTGAAACAATTCAATTACTGCATGAGACATTTCCCGGTCGTGTACTCTCTCGTTTCGGTGATCAAAATTGGCCTCCTAGATCGTGTGATTTAACACCATTAGACTTCTTTTTATGGGGTTATTTGAAATCACAAGTCTATGTCAACAAGCCCACAACCACCCGTGCATTAAAGGAGGAGATTCAACGCTGCATCAACGAAATTCAGCCACATTTATGCAGAAGGGTCATGGAAAATTTCGACAAAAGAGTGCGCATGTGCATGCAAAGCCGTGGAGGCCATTTGTCCGATGTGTTATTCCATACATAACCCTATCCTATATACTTTATGAGTCAATAAAAATATAACTATTAAAAGACTAAAAATGGCATTTTCTATTTAATTCAAATCTTGCGTTAATTTTGGGACACCCTTTATATATATATATATATTTAGTTATTTGCACTATATGTTTTTCTTCTGAACCTTTCCAGATTAGTTAGTAGATATAATTTATCTTATACCAGCTTGTGTTATTGACGTTGCTATTTTAACATACAAAAAAGCACTTATTCGTCAAGATAGCGCAAAATGTTAATAACACGTACTGTTATAAGATCTCCCATCCCACTAAATTTCTATATGTATATAAAAGTATAGCAATCTCAGATTTATATGTGCAGCTGGCAACGTTGCGGCATATTATGCACAATCTGGCAACCATGTCGCACCCTCAAAAAATGGCCGTTGACAACCACACAAGTCACCGTGTTGCCATTGAATAGCATGGAATTAAACCTTCTTCAGTGTATATGTTTTGTGTCAGTACCGGACTGACAGGCATGCGCAATCAAGCCTGGCAATTGGGTGCTGGGATTATTGAGCAGTCCCAGACGGGTAATTTTTCAACCCAAAACAGTCCAACGACACTTCGGAATTCAAAAACGACACATGTTTCCAGATCGGTGATCCCGTACGCTCACTCTCCCTCCGTCCGCAAGCTCTCCAAGATCGCTACCCTGCTGCTGGCCAAGAACTACATCCTGATGCAAGCGAACGCGCTGGAAGAGATGAAACGCCTCATAGCCTATTTGCAAGGCACCGCTGGAGCTGTTGGTGCGGCCACAGCTATCGTAGCGCCACCTGGATTCGACCTGCAAGGCTTCCCGGCTGCCGCGAAGTTCCTGCAACAGCAGCAGAGTCTGCAGGAAGCTGCCGCAGCTGCGGCTAGGGGAGCGGAAGGAAGTGGGGGGAATTCTGGTACTGGTGGGAGTTCACAACCTACCGGGATGTAATTGACTTCTTTAAAAATGCGGTGTTTATCGAAAACTTTGTTTTGACGCAATACCAATAGTTTGCCTCTGATAATACGGAAAGTCGGGGAAATTTCAGATTAGATTCAGTATGTACATGGTGTTTTCAAAGTTAAGTCATTTATTTTAACAGCTTGTAGAACTCGTCAAGAGAAGTTGGTATACCAGAAAGCACCTATCTAAAAGTTGCATAATAAGAGTTAATTTACATTATTAAAAATTATTTAAAAAAATCATTATCATGTTAAATGGATACCGTTTTTACAAAAACTGTTCAAAATTGCCCCCATTTGTTCGATTAACGCAAAATCTTGCTCGGCGAATCCACGGCTCTTTACAAGCTTGGAAAATAAAATCCCGGTGTTACAAGCAGTTACAATAAATGACTCAACTTTGAAAACACCCTGTATAACACACTCTATATTTTCAAGATTCGCAACTCCATGTTTAGCCGAAAATTCTTCTAGTTTTTGCAAAAGTAAGTGACATTTTGTAAAAACCACATTTCGCTACTGGTTAATAAAGAAATGCTGACATTCGGAATATAAATAGAATTATATTTGTTAAATAATCCGACAGAAAATGCACATAACTTGAATTGGTTAGTTCTATTTCAACTTACTAATTTTAAATGATTGATCTAGTCCCAGCACTTAACGATAAAAAATAGGACGCTTGTCCAATTCTGGTAATTATCAAGCTCAACATATAGTTTTTGTTATAAGATCAAGTATGTTTTTAATGTAATATCTGCTGGTCATTCTGATAATTCAAGTTTTTCTGACCGACTGAGGTGGCCGAAACGTCAGTAAACGGTAAATTCCAAATATTTGGTTTCATTTAAAATCAGCCAATTCCAAATATTTGGTTTCATTTAAGAACCAAAAAAAAAGTAATAAAAATCGTCAAATGGCAGGGGATATTTGGATTGTTTGCGTATGAATTTTATTAGGAGGTAATTGCTATAATGTAAATAGCATCTTACTATAGATTTATGTACGACGTCGACGTTAAAAACCTATATCTAGTCTTTATTAGATATCAATATATCTAAGTGATACAATGGATAACAAATAGCAATAAATGGTGTGAGATTATCTTTATTTATAAACATGAGTTTGCCATGTAAAAGTATTATGCAATAAATTATAAATACATATTTGTATTTTTTCTTTCGTCAACAAACGAGGAGCTATTGTGGAGGTGAGGAATTTCGAAAAAGTATGCTTTTACGATGCTACAGTCACTCCACGTAATTTCCATCGGTCTGTGCACAAATCCGTAATGACTTTGATAAATCCGGTGGTATCGTTCGGCACGAGTATTATGTAAGAAACCTATAAAACGTCAAAAAAAGCCTACAAAATGTCATCTTGCAGACTAGGTAGTTTTTGGGGTGCAAGCAGTCATTCCACATTTGCACACTAGGATCGTTGTGATCGTCCATCTATGGAGGAATGGCTCAACTACACGTCTACACGCGTTGTTGGTTGCATATGTTTTGTGAAGTCTAGTAGTCTACAGTTTTCATCTACGAAAAGAAAGTTGGTTGAATAGCAAGATCGCATCTGGATGATTGTGTGTATTGGTCTGCATGTGTATAAAGTCAGTAATATTTGCTATGTGAGGAAATTATTACTGAATATGCTGCCAATGAAGTATATCTATAAGCTGTGCCCGACGGGTTATTTATATATTGTCGTTTCTGAAGACAGGTTATGTTCAAAGTTATAAATTACGATTTTTTACGTTTTCTGTGTTCTCGAAAACTTTGAAGAGAATTACGGGAAATCGCTACCGCGCCCGCGTTGTAAGTAATTACTGTTAGCATGTATATAACTTGTAATTCGCCAGTGTACAGTGAATATAATTATTTATCTCTCTCATTTTTTAAATTCAGCAAATTTGCACTGATAATTTGCAAAATCGATGAGAAAAAGTGGATGTGCAACTAATTTCTAGCTTTGAATATCAAGTAAGTGTATTTGAGACAAGCATCCAATGCAAATATCATCAACACATATTATTAGCACACAAATCCTCACTATGCACCTATGCATTGCCGTTACTTCCAGTAATGCACTCTCTGAAATAGATTTTAAATCACATCAGAGCCAAACATGTCGATGCTAAATTAACATCTTGTAGAAAAACCTACATAATGTCCCAAAAAAACAATATAATGTCAAAAAATCGACATAACCTCGCGTTTCAACACAAGGTTCCTGCGATGCTGATAGCGAAAAAGCTTGATGGTTTTGAAAATTGATCCGGATACAACTGAGTTACGGGCAAAAAAACCGAGAAAAATCAAAATCGCTGAACTTTGTTTTTCAACGTTTCCGATTTCTGCGCGAACTTTTTTCGATAGGTTGCGAGTTGTTTTATTTTTTGTAAAAAAAGCAGTTTCTGAGAGCTGAGTGGTACAGATATTTTCAGTTATTGCCCTTTCATTTACTAGTGTTAAATATAACAAAATGCCTCGAGTTCGAAGACTGTTACCATGTTAGCGACTTTGACAGGGGTAGAATTATTGACTATCGAGATGTTGGTTTGTCCTATCGCGAAATTGGCTGCCGTGTTAATGGTACTGCAATGACGGTAATGCGTGTGTGGATAGAAGAAGGTGGAGGAACACGAACAACACCAACTGATCCGCCGAAGCCCACCACAGTGCATTAAGATAGGCGCTTCACACAATTAGCTCTACGAGACCAGTGGTTTGGAGAAGGTGGACTAGTTTCATACCGTCCACGGTTAGTGCTTCCTCTGACTGCGGACTACTGTCGTCAACGTGTGAACTGGAGCAGAGAACGGCAACATTGGGAGGCATAATGGCATAATGTCATCTTTAGCGACGAATCGCGATTGTGTCTAGGTACGCACGATGGTTGTGGAGAACGGCCTGATATTGAATATGCTGTTGAGAGGTATGTACACAGGACTGTTGGAGTAATAGTTTGGGGGCTATTGCTTATGGTAGCCGATCACCCTTTATCTTTATTCAAGGCTGTGCGTTATGTTGATAATGTCCTACAAACCACTTTACTGGCGTATCTAGAGGGCCGTCGACACGTCCTTTTTCAGCAAGACAACGCACGTTCCTATTGCTCGTCGTACTACGACGTTCACCGAATTTGAATCCCATCGAATATGTTACAATACAAAGTTGTTTGAATTAGCAAACTAGTAGCATTTTTAACGCTGGTAAAAATGAGAAATAAAAAAAAACAATTGAGAGTCGTTATTTTGATTTTTTTCAGTAAAATAACATTTTTTTAAATGGAAACCCCTGTATATTATATTTTTTTCTGTCAAAGCATCAAATTTTAAACAAAAAAGCTTACAATAACTTTTCTCCTAGGTTACAAATTGTTGAAGTTATGGCCTCCAATCTGAAACAATTAAATTGTATCGACAAACTTTATTTTCAACATCAACTTATAATCTTACAAAATACAATAACAATTTTTTTTAAAGAAGATGCTCGAAAACACCACCTTGTTCTTCAATACATTTTTGGGCACGTTTTTCAACTGCTCGAACTGTCTTAAGTATGGTCCTACCATCTATCTGGGTTATCTTTTCCCTAACTGCAGTCTTTAACGCGTCAAGGTTATCGTACCTTCGCTTGTAAATTTGGTTCTTTAAGTAACCCCACAAGAAGTAATCAAGTGGGTTTAGATCTGGTGATCTGGGAGGCCACTGTATTGGGCCATTTGTTCCTATCCACTGATCATTAAAAGTAGTACTTAGAAAATGATAAGTACCTCTGGAGTTGTGGGCAGGTGCGCCATCTTGCTGAAAATGCAGATGATATCTACTTATAAGATCCAATTCGTCTAAGAAATTAGTCAGAATTTCTGACATAAATTCCACATATCTTTCACCAGTTAGGGTTCCCTCATAAAAGAACGGGCCAACAATTTTTGAACCAATTATACCGCACCAAACGTTGAAACTGAAACGGACTTGTGGGCCTCTTGGATGTACTAACAAAAGATTATCTCTTGACCAATAATGGTGGTTTTTTCTATTAAACATTCCAGAATTTGAAAAATTTGATTCATCTGTCCATAAAAGGTAACGAAAGTTATTTACATTTTGGCGACAGAAGCTAAGATACCAATGGCAAAAAACAAGTCTTCTCTCTGGATCCCCTGCCAAAAGCGTTTGAACTGGTCGGTACTTATACGGAATAAATTTGTATTTTTTTAAAATCCTTTGAACAGTACCATAACTGAAATTAGAGTCCTTGAGAATATCTGCTATTGAATTCTCACGATAAGCTTCAAAATATCCAATAACTGCAATTTCCGTGGCCTCGCTTATTATGAATTCTTTTTTTGCCCTTGTTTTAGCAAAAACATTTTCGTTGCCCCTAAATTTTCGATAAAGTCTCAGAAAATATCGTTCATACGGTTGAATGCGAGCGGGATATAATTCACTGTATATTCTCTTGCTCTCAAGGAGGATTTTCTGCACACTAAATAGCATTCTAACATATCACACTTTTCTTCATGGGAGAACATTTTTCTTTAAATTAATGACACAATAAAGCTTATAAACAAGTATTTACACTAATGTTTGACATTATTTGATTTTATCATTGTTTTCCAAAGCCTTCTAGTTGCGAGTATGTCCAATTTAACAATTTGTCGCTTATCTTAATGCTGTCAAATCGCGAACGCCATGTTGTTTTCATAGCCGTCTTAATATTATAATACTGCAAATAATTAAAAATATTTATCGTTATTTTGACTTTAGCGGAAAAGTCATTATGAACTTTTTTGTTTAAAATTTGATGCTTTAACAGAAAAAAGTATAATATACAGGGGTTTCCATTTAAAAAAATGTTATTTTACTGAAAAAAATCAAAATAACGACTCTCAATTGTTTTTTTTTATTTCTCATTTTTACCAGCGTTAAAAATGCTACTAGTTTGCTAATTCAAACAACTTTGTATTTTCACTAATAACAAAGTTACTAATGGTGGACACTTAATTTGGATAACCCTGTATAAACATGGGTCGAAAAATGCGTGGCTTCCGAAATCCAGGGTGTTTAAATTTACTTTCTAAAATAGTTTTTTTTAAATATTTCGGACAATATTTGATGCATAACAGTGAAAATTGGTATACAAGGGTTTTTTGGTGCGACAAAACGAACCATGGGCATAGTTTTACTGTAGCCGCTAGAGGGCGCTCTCTACTGTACCTGTAGTGTATTAAAATGGGCGAAAACATTTTCTTAGTGCAATTTTTTGCTTTTTGAATAAAAAAACTGACTCTTCGCACTTTTCAACATAAAAAAGCTCTCCTGTGAGTTTTCGTTATAGTTAGCCGTTTTTGAGATATTTCGATTTTTAAGGTTCGATGCATTTTTAATTATTTATGGGAAACTAAATTTTTTTTTACATTTTCGATTTGGACATTACAAGTAATTAAGATAATCGTTTAGATTGTGTTTTTAAACACAGCAATAATTCTTAACTCCAAATAAACACAAAAAACAGAATATTAACTTGTTTAATTTCCAATATTATTTTTAACACATTAAATTAATTATTTACAACTAAAATGCTATTGGATAGTTAGGACAAACATACAAAATCTAAAGCAGTTGCTCGAAATGTAAACCCAATTGTTCAATACACAATTCACATCTACGAATGATCGATAGCATTATTCAAATAAGGCCTTATTTCATCACATGCATTCCTGATTCTGTCTATTAGCATATCTCTTGTGTCTGGTACACTTTTTCTTTTAGAAATCCCCACACAAAGAAATCTAATGGATTTAGATCAGGGGATCGTGGAGGCCCGGCGACTGGTCCTCCACGGCCCACCCATCTTTCTGGATAATTTTCGTCCAGCCAGTTTCCAACTATTCTCGAATAACGAGCTGGACAACCATCAAGCTGGAACCAGGCCTTAAAACGTTACTTAAAAACTCCCCATTATTATCAGTTCTATCAAGAATCCACTGACAAAATGTGATTCTTCGTTCTCCGTCCCCTGGCTGTAGTCCTTGCACAGGTTGCAAATGGTAAGGACGTCTATGGTCATTTCTAAGAACACGGTGAACATGGCTTGCTGAAATTCCCAAGGCACCAGAAACTCTCCTAACACTTGTGGTCGGATCTCTATCAAACTCACGCAGAATCATACGGGTAAATCTGCGCTGACGAACATTTATGTTTTGATGCCTTTGGAGAATTCCAAAACCATTTCCAATTATTTGACGATGTACTCTTACAAATACTGAGCGAGTTGGATGTCGTCTGTTTGGAAATCTTCGTGCGTATTCTCTGGCTGCTTCTGCCATACACAAAATGAATATCCGCTAACTCTTGATTGGAGAATAAAAATGGCATTTTTATAAAACAGGTAAAAGAAACTAAATTTCGTGCTTCACAATTTCAAAAAAACGTTTCAGGTTTCAACAGACAACAAAACTGTCAACTAATTGAAGTTTAACCTTATTCTGCTTTCAATTTCAAAAATTATCGAGATACTGACTTTTTAACGTTATTTTATCATAAATAATTAAAAATGCATCGAACATTAGAAATCGAAATATCTCAAAAACGGCTAACTATAACGAAAATTCACAAGAGAGCTTTTTTATGTTGAAAAGTGCGAAGAATCAGTGCCTTTATTTAAAAAGCAAAACATTACACTAAGAAAAAATTTTCATTTTAATACACTACATGTACAGTAGAGAGCGCCCTCTAGCGGCTACAGTAAAAATATGCCCATGGTTCGTTTTTTCGTACCAAAAAACCCTTGTATACCAATTTTCACTGTTATACATCAAATATTGTTCGAAATATTTAAAAAAAAACTATTTTAGAAAGTAAATTTAAACACCCTGTATTTCGGAAGCCACGCATTTTTCGACCCATGTTTATATAGACTTTATGCATCAATTTTAAAGTTCTATCGAATCTTAAAGTTATGCAACAATAAACTGTATATAGTCCCAATTACCGCTTCGAGAAAAAACCGGGTGTACCACAAAGCGACATCTAGAATGTTGGAGATCACTTCGCGTCGATCTAGAAGGCGATCCGCTGTCACGATCCTCACAGACGCCTTGTGCGCCGTGGTTCGCGTAAAAGCAGAGATCGGCAATTAAGCTCTGGCGAGTAGGAGACTCGCCCAACAGATGGCGCTATTTGTCACATGCTTTTTGATGCCATTGTACTAGAAGTTGTTTCAAAAGCATGGGGACTCCATTTTTTTCGGAAATAACAATGATGACACATTTGATTCTATATCTTGGTTTGTCTGGGTATAGTTAGGAAGGAAAATAAAATACAGTAAATGCTGTTTTTAAACATTTTATATGAATTTCGTGGTAAAGTATGTCATAAGAAAACAACAACAAAACAATCAACTATGTTTTTACGTACAGCACATACACACTTTTTCTTTACGTTCTTATTTACTGATTCACAGACGTTCTCTTGCCTTTCACAACTACCGGTTTGTTTTTAATAGTGCCTTTTTTGCGCTTGGTGCTCTTCTTCGACACAAAATTAGGCGATTTGACCACACGACCTGCTACTGGTATCCGCGGGCGGTTAAATTCGTCCTTCTTTTTCACCCTGGGAAAAAACATGCCATGGTTAAACCAAAGAGTAGACATATCAAGAGAAGGCAATTCGTGAAATGTCCCAGTTTCTTTAGTAAATTCAGTTTTCATTAAAACCACTATTTTTGTTGTATTTCTTTTATTAGGGCACCCCTCTTGAACGAACACTTTCAGTCGGTCCCGTTGGTGTCCGTTCAAAGTAAATTTCACTGTATACACCTTCTGAACGTTTTACAAATTTTCATTTGTAATTCGAAGGATTGAAAAGTAAATCAAAAACAATTTCCAAACAAATAATGTCAAGATCGGTTTCAATTTTAACTTAATATAGTAGCTATGGAATTCCACAATGAAAAAGTGTACCTATTTTCTCAAATAATACAAAAACGAAACACCTGAAAATACAGTAAATACATTTACATACATGTCGCGATGCTCCTCTCTCAAAAACATGTTTTTTGTGCATATACTTTTGGGAAAAGTAAATCAATTTTGAGAAGAAGACGCAGATACAGGGCGGCCAATATATAACTGACAGATTTAAATTGCGCGCCGTTTTCGATACACGCATTTCAGTAGGTGGCGCTGTAGTAGATGTTTAAAGCACATGTGTCCAATTCATCATGGAGCGCTACACGATCCCACAACGCGTCCGTGATGTTAAAACGTTTTACTCAAATAATCACTGGACAACAACTTTTAGTTTTTTAATTGTATCTTGTGGGAAAAGTGCACTTCTTTGTTAATTTTGGGGCGCTGAATTCAAAAATGACAATGAAAAAAAATTAGTTGCGGTTCAGAAAAAAAACTTTTTATTTTTAAGGATATATTAAAAAAAGTAACAAGATTCATATACGTTACTTATAAGAATCACTATATGCGCTGTCTTTTTGCTGTTCTTTTATGGATCGTTTCTGGAGCATCTCTACCAAGAGTCCAACAGTAGTCTGCAAGCATGGAAGGATTCCACTTTCCCTGGTACCTTTTTTCCATTGTTGAAATATCCTGATGAAAACGTTCGCCGTGCTCATCACTTACGGCTCCGCAATTGTCAGGAAAAAAGTCCAGGTGTGAGTGTAGGAAATGTATCTTAAGAGACATATTACAGCCCATCTTTTGATACGATGACAGCATATTTTTGACAAGGGTTTTATAGTTGTCAGCTTTTCTATTTCCCAAGAAATTAGTGACCACCAGACGGAAATCATTCCAAGCAGTTTTTTCAATACCTGTTAAAGTGTTTTCAAACTGTGCATCTTTCAAAATATTTCGAATCTGTGGCCCAACAAAAATACCTTCTTTAACCTTTGCCTCACTTAGTCTTGGAAATTTCTGACGCAGGTATTGAAAAGCTGACCCATCTCTATCTAATGCCTTGACAAAGTTTTTCATTAGGCCCAACTTGATATGGAGTGGTGGTAATGAAATTTTTTTCGAATCTACTAATGGCATATGCTGTACATTTTTTTGACCTGGCTCTAGGAATTGACGAACAGGCCAGTTTTGTCTGGTGTAATGAAGTGCCTTTGCCCGACTGTCCCATTCACACAAAAAACAGAAAAACTTTGTGTAGCCTAGCTGCAGCCCAAGTAAAAGTGCAACAACTTTCAAATCGCCACAAATATGCCATTGGTGCTCATCGTATTTTATGCATGTCAATAGGTACTTCATATTGTCATATGATTCTTTCATGTGAACTGCATACCCTACAGGAAGAGATGGTAAAATATTTCCAATATGCAATAACACTGCCTTTAAACTCAATGTTGAAGTGTCTATAAACAATCTCCATTCTTCTGGGTTATAGTTTATATTTAAAGCCGCCAGTAAGCCGTTAATGTTACTGCAGAAAACCAAGTTATTCTCCATATTGAAAAATGGTTCTAAGCCTTTGTGGCGTTTACGAAAAACACATTCCGAAACATCGTCTTCTAACAAGTTCCACTGCTGCAGTCTTGATCCAAGTAACTCTGCCTTACATTTTGGAAGTTCTAAATCTCTTACAAGATCATTTAATTCTGACTGTGTTATTTTGTGCGATTGGTGGCATGACGTGCTCGGTATAAAATCAGGATCTCTTGACGTTGATGGCATATCTACTTCCTGACGAATCACTCGATCGCCATGATCTGATTCGTTTTCTGATTCGCAAGTGTAGGATTCTGGGGGTTTTGGAATAGGATTTTCGTCACTGTGAGGCACAGGTCTCATCGCAGATGGTATGTTTGGATAGTTAATAACCGATTTTTTTTCTTGTGGCTTGTCCAACAGGTACCATGCAAAAGTAACAATCATTAATATGATTTGTAGGCTCTCTCCAAACCATTGGGACAGCAAAGCGCATAGACCGTTTTTTGCCATTTAACCAGCTCCTCAGACTTGAAGCACATGTATTACAGCAGATGTGGGGTGCCCACTGTTTGTCTTGATCACCTAGTTTACAACCGAAATAAAGCTGACATGCCTTTGTTATTAGTGGAGTAATAGACCGTCTCTGAGACGCAAAAGTCACATCACCACACACGTAACAAAACTGATCTGGATTGTTTACACACTTTCGAGACATCTTGCATGAACGCTGTCAGCCAACTGAGGAAAAAATGGCTAATATAAAACAATATAATGTACACGTATGTATAACGTAACACAATCATGCCGATTACATCATCTTTCCTTGCCGAATATAAAAATGTAGCACGTGCATTCTTATGAATTACAGTATATTAACACTGTCACAGCAGGAACACATATAATGACCGTATCTCTAAAACTTGAACTAATATTGAAAAAATAAGTTTCATTCCGGTTTTAGCACATTAAAAATAGTAATATTTTGTTGATTTTAGTTAGGATATTTTTTGGCTGTTGATCAGTGTAATGAGTCGATTGTTTCAACGATTCGGAAGCGACGACAAGATCAATTTGAACTGTTCGTACTCCGGAAAATATCGAGAGAGTTCGTGAAAGTGCAGTGGAGCGTCCTGAGATGTCTACCAGACATCGTTCTCAACAACTGGGTATTCGTAAAAAAAGACTTGCATTTGCGGTCATACAAAATTCAGGTAACCCAAGAACTACAGCTTAATGACCATGAAAGACGCCGATAATACACTCATCGATATGAACGGATTTGTTAATAACCAGTATTGTCGTATCTGGGCATTAGAGAACCCTCGTGTCATCCATCAACGACAACTACATCCTCGTCGAGTCACAGTTTGGTGCGGTGTTTGGTATCGAGGTGTCATTGGACCTTACTTCTTTGAAGACGCTGCAGGTAATTCTCTTACCGACTCTGGCGAGCGCTACCGTGATATGGTGCAAAACTTTCTGGCTTCTCAAATCCAACAATTTAACCTGCAAAACATGTGGTTCCAGCAGGACGGAGCAACTTGTCACACAGCTTGGAAAACGATTAATCTTTTGCGAACAATATTTCCGGGACGTTTAATTCCTCGATTTGGTGATGTCAACGTCACCGGATTTAACGGCTCCTGACTTTTTTATTGGGATTTTTGAAAAATAGGGTTTATTCCAACAAAGCAAATACTGCAGAGCAGCTGAAGAACAATATTACGGAAGCGATTGAAAATATTCCTCCCGAAACCTATCAAAAAGTGATGTAAAATGTAATCAAGAGGGCTCCGGTTTGCGCGGCTTCTAGAGGCAGACATTTATCTGATATTATTTTTCATACATAATTTCTAAGTTTCAATAAAAGATTAAGATGAAAAAATGGACGTATTTTATTTCATTTCACAAATATTCAAGACACAAACCAGTCAGTTACATATCGGCCACCCTGTATAACATTAACAGTGGCTGAAATAGCCCTGATAAAATCACTGCACCGAGTACTCTGTCGTTACTAAGAGTACCCAGTACTCTGCATTCGAAGATGACCGCGTTTTTTTAAAAAGTAGCACTAGAAGTGAGGCAACGGCCCCAAGAAATGTGACTACTTCCTAAATAGTGGCTGCCGTCCAAAAAAATGCCAAAGTATTGTGAGGCCTTATTTTTGAGGAGAAAAGTAACATTATCGGGATCTTCCGTCAATATCAGCAAACAAATTCCATCAAATTCGTGATCTACGCACCCGACTTACCTAAAGTATCCCAGTTTACTCTCTGGTATGATATAATAATTAAAGATTAGAAGCTTTTTGACGAAAAAAATTTACCTGTATATTCTGACAAGCCAGTGCTCGGTGGTGTAGGCCTCTTCGAGATACGTCAATTGGAAATCCTTGTTGCCGATGACAGCATTCCTGGTTCTGTCGAAACCGGCTGGGGAACGGTAGTCCAGCTTCAGTTCTCCAAAGCGGTAGTAGCTCAATTTATACATCAGACAGTTCAACAGGGTGGGAGAACCCTCGGCGTCTACTCGGAACTCGCCTTGTTCGGTGAAATAGTCGCTTTCCTGGAAGAAACAACGGCGTCAAGTAGAGTGACTCGGTATTTGTCACGTATGCAATTCTGTACCCCAGAGCCAGACTAGGTTAAGTCCATTTTTGTCAAAAATGACTTTAAATATGTAAAGCTTATGATAATATTGTGAATTTTTATTTGCTACATGCAGTATCCATCTATCATAATAAGAAAGTTACGACTCTTTAACTCATATCAAGTCGTATTCGATACAATGCAAGAAAAATAACGGGTGATTTTTTAAGAGGTATAGGATTTGATTTTCAAAAAAAAAAAAACAAAAAAATTGAAAAAACGATTAAATCTTTATTTGAGTCGATAGAACGGTCGATATAATTTAATGTTTGAAGATTATTTCATGTAAATGTTGGCCGCGGCTCCGCTTTAGATGGCCCATGCGCAAGGTCCAATTTTGGCACACTCTCTCCAACATATCGGCCGGTATCTCACGAATAAATGCTTCAATATTGGCTTCCGGTGCCTCAATCGTTGCTGGTTTATCCCTGTAGACATTAGCCTTAACATGGCCCCACAAGAAATAGTCCAACGGCGTTAAATCACACGATCTAGGCGGCCAATTGACGGGCCCCAAACGTGAGATAAACTGTTCACCAAACTCGCCTCTCAATAGGGCCATTGTTTCGTGTGCGGTGTGGCATGTGGCACCGTCTTGTTGAAACCACATGTCAGTCAAGTCCAGCTCTTCCATTTTGGGCAGAAAAATGTTTGTTATCATCGCACGGTAGCGCTCGCCAGTCACAGTTACGTTCCGGCCATTGTCGTCTTTGAAGAAGTACGGCCCGATGATGCCGCCGGCCCATAATCCACACCAAACAGTGATTTTTTCGGGATGCATTGGTAGCTTTTGCAATGCTTCTGGCTGGTCTTCACTCCAGATGCGGCAATTTTGCTTGTTAACGTATCCATTCAACCAGAAATGAGCTTCGTCGCTGAACACAATTTTTCGATAAAAATGTGGATCTTCCCCCAACTTTGCCAGCGCCCATTCACCAAATGGGAAACGTTGTGGAAGGTCGTGTGGCTTCAATTCTTGCACCAGCTGTATCTTATAAGGTTTTACACCCAAATCCTGTCGCAAAATTTTCCACGTAGTGGAGTAACAGAGGCCCAATTGCTGCGAACGGCGGCGAATCGACATTTCACGGTCATCACTAACACTAGCGGATACAGCCGCAATATTTTCTTCAGTCCTCACTCTACGTCTGCGTGTTGGTGGTTCAATTATGTAAACTGGGTTCGAAATTTAGTCACAAGCTTCCGAATAGCTCCCTCAGTAGGCCGACCAAATTGCCCATAAATTGAAAGCAGTGCTCGATGCACTCTCTTAACCGAGCATGAATTTTGATAGTAAAATTCAATAATTTGCAAGCGTTGTTCGTTCGTAAGTCGGTTAAATTATAGACCAAACTGAACAAGTTTGACAATGACACAAGAGACGATTCACGCGTCATCTGTCAAAAACAGTGTTGCCAAAAAGATACTAGCAAAAAAGCACCCATTATTTCAAATAAAATTATCTCAAAACTACTTATTTGGACTTAACCTAGTCTGGCTCTGGGGTACAGAATTAGGAATTCTCACAAAATGTAAAATGGAGGACTAGCCCTATGCAAGTGTTAAATCAATTTAGCACTTTCGGCGCTTTGACAGAATGTACAATGCCCAATTAGAAATTGTGTATAAACTATCAATCTAACAACCTCAGTGTCTAGTCTAATCATATTAGCAAATTTACCCCAAAATAATTGTAAAGTCTGATTCTATTGGTGCAAGTTGTTCAAGGGGGTATTTAAAACATGGACTCATAAAATGGATACACCAATTTTTGTGCGAAAACTTTTTATTTGACAACAAAGAATGAGAAAATGTGTTTTTTGGGATTCAATCGAAAGTGTTGACAGGAACGAAAAAACTTTTCATATAAGATTTTTAGGTATTAATGAAATCTACAAAATGAGACTACACGTGAAAAGATCCGACTGATAGCAAAAATATTATGGCCGAAAACGAGGCAAAATGCAGGTTTTGGCACTTGTTGGTAATGCGACTATGCAACTACTTGAAATTCTTCAGTATTCATACATCTTAATAGCAACAAAATTGGAGTATATTGGCCAAGTAGTTTTTTGAGAATTTCTAATTGTTTATCCCAAAACACCTGTTTTCCGGCCATCACTACTAGTTTTATAAGCAATATACAGGGTTGTTTCAAAGAACATTTAATAGCAAAATAAACGTGTGCCGATATGAATCACAAACCATTCCGAAAGATAAATGTTATTTTTATGCGAAAAACAAAGGTTACGTTTTTTCTTTTAAACAAATTCAAACATTTCGTATTTGTGAGTAATTGAACAAATGCACTACGATATTCGAAAAACATACGTTACTATAGACTTTTTAAAACAAAGCAGATGTGTCTATCATCTTTTGTTGCGGATTACTCACAAATACGAAATATTCAGATTTGTTTAGAAGAAAAAATGTAACCCATGTTTTTTGCATAAAAATAACATTTATCTTCCGGAATGCTTTGCGATTCATAGCGGCAAGGTAAACTAGTGTATTTTGCTATAGACTGGCCCTTTTAATTAATCCTGTATATTGCTCAATAAGCTAGTAGTGATGGCCGGAAAATAGGTGTTTTGGGATAAACAATTTGAAATTCTCAAAAACTACTTGACCAATCTACCAAAAAAATTGGTGTACGGATTTTATGCGTCCATGTTCTGAATACCCCCTTGAACAACTTGCAGCAATAAAACCAGACTTTACAATTATTAAGCAAACCAGGGGTAGTTTCGTCTAATATGATTAAGAGACACACTCGCTGCTGAGTCACAAGGGTCACCGCTCAAACTTCCTCGTAATAATTTCAAATTGTTATCTCAGAATTTCTCAACGACAGAAAGGGAAATCTCATAACAGGAAATCCCATAACCTGCGGATACAGTCTCAGAGGCAGCAACGCTGGCACCTGAAGACGGTGGTCGACACGTTGTTAGCTGTAAGAATAAGTGGTTTCCGTTCAGGCAAAGCTTTCGAGTTTTTTGGATATCTTCTGCTGGAATATATTAATCAAAGCTACGAATTACATCAAGTTTTGCTGAAATAGATCCATAAACAAAACAGATATGTAAAGATAGTAGATATTAAATATTTTTACCTTGATATCCTTTGGATGCTCGCCCTCAGCGATTCTCACCATCCACAAAAACTTGTTGATATCATCCCCAGAATATCCGATAACTCCACCGAAAATGACCAATACGTAGTCCACGTCCAGCATAGTCATGATCTCGTAAGCAGCAGTTTCGTTTGAAGACATCGCTTTTCCCACCAACGCGATATGACTGTTGTTCCACGTGTTGTTGTCTACTAAAGTCGTCCGATTCGCCATTCCAGCTATTTGATAGCCATAATCCCACCTAAAAAGCACTTTTTCATTCAAACGACTCACCGACAAACACTAGCTTAAACTGAGCAAGACATTTGACCCTTACTTACCAGCTCATAACCCTGGCGCTATCGTCCGTATTCTGCGACAGCCAATAGTATCCCTCCCTGAAATCGTCCAATATCTGCCTGGAACCGTCGGCCCCGTAACTGGCCAGCACCACACTCGGACTCGAGTACGCATTACTGGTCACCCAAGTGCAATGAACAGCAAACAGCATCAGAAGCAGCAGTACTACTACCGATACTATGCTGCGTAAGTTGGCTCCTATCGCGTTACTGCTTTCAGATTCTTTTTGTTGCTCGTGCTTCATTTTCGGTACGCGACCGGCCTGCAACACGGAAAAGTGGCGTCAAGTAGATCGACTACGAGGGAGATCCCAAAAGGTAGTACGAGGGATACTAGAAAAAAGTCTGACTAGCCGTGAAAACAACAAATGAAACGCACAAGCATAATGTGTCACAACACCCCACCCCTCATATTTAAATAGAAGTCAAAAAACAAAAAACCAAAATTGGATCTATATTATCAAGATCAAAAAATATTGATATACCACAAGGTAGTAAACTAGGTCCACTACTATTTATTTTATACATTAATGACATTTGTAATATTTAAGAGTATTGTAAACTTCAGATATTTGCAGATGATACATTAATATACATATCAGATGCAAATATAGACACTTCTTTAAAAATGCTAAATTCTGACTTGGCAAATCGTAAATGGGTTAACTGTAAATAAACTTAAACTGAATACTTTTAAAACAAAATGTATGCTAATAGGGAAATACCTAAATGAAAATACTATCACAGTTAGGATAAATGGAGAAATAATCGAAAATGTTGAATCAATTAAATATTTAGGTATACATATATATATATATATATATATATATATATATATATATATATATAACTTGAGACGTGGTCATTGTCGTCTAGACCAGTTAGGTGAAAAATTAAAGCTTCCGCCTTTTGTTGGGTATTTCGACAAAATTTAAGCAAAGAGGACTCTTTATACTTTTTTTAATTCTCTCTAGCTTTCAATGGACTTTGCCATCATCATCAGGAGCTGCAATTACAATGACAACAGTAGCAACAAAAGTGTAAAATGAATTTAAATTGACTCAACTTACAGTAGTATGTGAGGATGTTGCTAATTGTTGTTTACGTATAGGATGAGGGAAACGTCCAGTGGTGAGAGCTGGATACATGGTACAATGGTCAAAATTATATAAAATATGACAAGACAAGTTAAAAACAGATTAAAAATTATTTAAAAAACATTAGAGCATCGTGAAGCCACTTGATGATTGCACAAAATGGTTCATCTCACTCATTATTCCATGACCACCATTTTGTGCAATCATCAAGTGGCTTCACGATGTAATGCTCTAATGTTTTTTAAATAATTTTTAATCTGTTTTTAACTTGTCTTGTCATATTTTATATAATTTTGACCATTGTACCATGTATCCAGCTCTCACCATGTTACTGGACGTTTCCCTCATCCTATACGTAAACAACAATTAGCAACATCCTCACATACTACTGTAAGTTGAGTCAATTTAAATTCATTTTACACTTTTGTTGCTACTGTTATCATTGTAATTGCAGCTCCTGATGATGATGGCAAAGTCCATTGAAAGCTAGAGAGAATTAAAAAAAGTATAAAGAGTCCTCTTTGCCTAAATTTTGTCGAAGTACCCAACAAAAGGCGGAAGCTTTAATTTTTCACCTATATATATATATATATATATATATATATTGATAGTAAACTAAAGGTCAAGGATCACTATGAATACATTATTTCAAAAATTGCCAAAAAAAAAAACAAATTACTTTTATAGGGCTTCTCATAGTCTTGGTACCTATTCCAAGAAAATAGTTTATAATACAATTATTCTACCGCATTTACTATATAGTTCAACTCTCTTGATCACTGCCAATGAAGCTGTATTCTCAAAATTACAAGTCTTGCAAAATAAAGCTATGAGAATAATATTGAATAAAAATCAGTACACCAAAATAAAATCTATGTTACAAGAATTGCAATGGTTGAATATAAAAAACTTCATATCATATTTGGTTCTTATTTTTATATTTAAAATAAAAAATCACCTTTTGCCAGAATATTTAGAACACTACATAGAATTGAATAATCATTACCACAATTATTATACAAGAGGAAGTAAAGATTTTCATTTACAAAATTGCAATAATAATATAACTAGAAAATCAATATTTCAGAAAGGATTACATACTTGAATTTAATAAACTAAATAATGATATAAAGTCTACTTGTAATTCAAAGATACTTAAAAGAAAATTAAAGGAATATTTCATGGACAATGAAAATTCTTAGAGATGCAAATTTTGTTTTTTTTTCTGAATGTCTGTACGTTAGGTAATTGTTTAGTTTTTTAGAAGAATGTAATTGTAGCAATCATGCTAAATAAATTTTAAACAACATCTGAAATGTCTAAAAAGGAAGTTTGAGTTAACTAATTTTTTCTGCATAGGAAAGTGAAGGCAGATTATGTAGCAGATAATAAGATATTTTTTATATGCTTTTTGAACATATTCATGTCATATAACTACAATTATAAAAAGTTTATGATTACTGGGAGTGCAAATGACTGGCTAGAAAAAACAAGATCAAGAAAACAATCTGTAGCAGTTCTAAGAGATGAAAAGAAAAAATATTACAATACCAAAATTGATGACAGTAAAAATAATAGCAAACAGATGTGGAAAACATTGAAAATCATTGTCTCTTATTAGAAGAAATACATTATCTAAAATGAAGTTCGACGATAGGGTAATGACAAATGAATAAATAATAGCAGATCCAATGATTACCTATTTCATAGAAAGTGTCACCCACATTGTAAGATCAATTATTGATGGGGATCCCAACTAATGTCCCATTAATTGTCTCAAGATTATATCAAAATTGGAATCAAATCAAAATAGTAGAGAGATTTTGTCTAAAAGGGTGCTTAATGAATGTTTTGATATTATTGGAGCAAGAATATTAATCCTGATAAATTACTGTTAAGAATGTGGACAATTTCCAACAAAACTGAAAGTTCTACCATAACTCGTGTTTCTAAAGTTAAGAGTTCTGAGTTGTACACTAAAATGCGGCCAATGAATTTTCTGCCAGATGTTGAAAAATTCTTTGAAGCTGGATTCAGGAAGAAGTAATCAACTGAAACGGCAGTACAAATGGTTTTAGAGGACTGGAGAAGATGAATGGACAATAGGAAACATACAGTGACAGAGTTTTTGAACTTCAAAAGGGCGTTTGAAACTATTGACAGGGATAAATTACTTACAAAATTGCATCACTATGGATTTAAAGGATCTGTATTCAAAATTCTACAAAACTACTTAACTGATAGAAGTCAAAAAATCAAAACTGAATCTTCATTATCACGCTCAAAAAATATTTCTGTTCGTATACCACAAGTAAACTAGGTACACTACTATTTATTTTATACATTAATGACATTTGCGATATTTTAGATTATTGTAAAATTCAAATATTTGCAGATTAATATACACATCAGATGAAAATATAGACAGTGCTTTAAAAATGCTAAATTCTGATTTCATAAATCATAAATTGGTTAAATGCAAATAAACTAAAATTGAATGCTTCTAAAACAAAATGGATGCTAATAGGGAAATACCTAAATGAAGATACTATCACAGTTAGGATAAATTGTGAAGTATTTGAAAATATTGAATCATTTTTTTTACCATACCAAAAGTGGCTAAAACAATGGGAGAAAGAAAAAGAACGAACTGAAGTATAGTACTACAAGAAAAGTATATACTCAACTCACCTTGTCATACAGACGTTTGCTAGGCGTTCCGTGCTCTTCCTCTTCGCTTTCTTCTACCCTGCCGTTATCATCCTCTCTCAAATAGAATTCTATCAGGTTTGAAAAAGCGATGCCACTCAAAATGCAAACAACGGGCGTCAGAGTTAACATCAGTCTTACCATTACGCCGGCAAAATATACCGCACTCAAGGCATACAAAACAACTGAAAAAAACAATCATTATACAATCAATGTTAACACGCGAGATAAATTTGTATGTTTCTTCTATGAGAAAGCATATCTCTTTATTCCTGTTTCATGTCCATATTTTGCCTTAAAACGCATATTCCGCATGTTCAATTTTTTTATGTACATGTCATATAATATGCAAAAAATAATATCTCATTTTACATTTTCTCTTAATTCCTCGCCAGTATGCGTGGGAAGTAAAACGAGATAAACTCCATCATAAAAATCTATTTAAAATGTTAAAGGTCGGCAGTCGGCAAAAGATATTGCCATTGAATTATGATACCTGGAAATTTGCTATATTTTAATTCATAAAAAAACAATCTCAATTCATGTTATATAGGAACCGATATACAGGGTTATCCAAATTAAGTGTCCACCATCGGTAACTTTGTTATTAGTAAAAATACAAAGTTGTTTAAATTAGCAAACTAGTAGCATTTTTAACGCTGGTAAAAATGAGAAATAAAAAAAACAATTGAGAGTCGTTATTTTGATTTTTTTCAGTAAAATAACATTTTTTTAAATGGAAACCCCTGTATATTATATTTTTTTTCTGTCAAAGCATCAAATTTTAAACAAAAAAGTTCATAATGACTTTTCCGCTAAAGTCAAAATAACGATAAATATTTTTAATTATTTGCAGTATTATAATATTAAGAAGGCTATGAAAACAACATGGCGTTCGCGATTTGACAGCATTAAGATAAGCGACAAATTGTTAAACTGAACATACTCGCAACTAGAAGGCTTTGGAAAACAATGATAAAATCAAATAATGTCAAACATTAGTGTAAATACTTGTTTATAAGCTTTATTGTGTCATTAATTTAAAGAAAAATGTTCTCGCATGAAGAAAAGTGTGATATGTTAGAATGCTATTTAGTGTGCAGAAAATCCTCCTTGAGAGCAAGAGAATACTACAGTGAATTATATCCCGCTCGCATTCAACCGTATGAACGATATTTTCTGAGACTTTATCGAAAATTTAGGGGCAACGAAAATGTTTTTGCTAAAACAAGGGCAAAAAAAGATTTCATAATAAGCGAGGCCACGGAAATTGCAGTTATTGGATATTTTGAAGCTTATCGTGAGAATTCAATAGCAGATATTCTCAAGGACTCTAATTTCAGTTATGGTACTGTTCAAAGGATTTAAAAAAAATACAAATTTATTCCATATAAGTACCGACCACTTCAAACGCTTTTGGCAGGGGATCCAGAGAGAAGACTTGTTTTTTGCCATTGGTATCTTAGCTTCTGTCGCCAAAATGTAAATAACTTTCGTTACCTTTTATGGACAGATGAATCAAATTTTTCAAATTCTGGAATGTTTAATAGAAAAAACCACCATTATTGGTCAAGAGAAAATCTTTTGTTAGTACATCCAAGAGGCCCACAAGTCCGTTTCAGTTTCAACGTTTGGTGCGGTATAATTGGTTCAAAAATTGTTGGCCCGTTCTTTTATGAGGGAACCCTAACTGGTGAAAGATATGTTGAATTCATGTCAGAAATTCTGACTAATTTCTTAGACGAATTGGATCTTATAAGTAGACATCATCTGCATTTTCAGCAAGATGGCGCACCTGCCCACAACTCCAGAGGTACTTATCATTTTCTAAGTACTACTTTTAATGATCAGTGGATAGGAACAAATGGCCCAATACAGTGGCCTCCCAGATCACCAGATCTAAACCCACTTGATTACTTCTTGTGGGGTTACTTAAAGAACCAAATTTACAAGCGAAGGTACGATAACCTTGACGCGTTAAAGACTGCAGTTAGGGAAAAGATAACCCAGATAGATGGTAGGACCATACTTAAGACAGTTCGAGCAGTTGAAAAACGTGCCCAAAAATGTATTGAAGAACAAGGTGGTGTTTTCGAGCATCTTCTTTAAAAAAAATTGTTATTGTATTTTGTAAGATTATAAGTTGATGTTGAAAATAAAGTTTGTCGATACAATTTAATTGTTTCAGATTGGAGGCCATAACTTCAACAATTTGTAACCTAGGAGAAAAGTTATTGTAAGCTTTTTTGTTTAAAATTTGATGCTTTAACAGAAAAAAATATAATATACAGGGGTTTCCATTTAAAAAAATGTTATTTTACTGAAAAAAATCAAAATAACGACTCTCAATTGTTTTTTTTTATTTCTCATTTTTACCAGCGTTAAAAATGCTACTAGTTTGCTAATTCAAACAACTTTGTATTTTCACTAATAACAAAGTTACTAATGGTGGACACTTAATTTGGATAACCCTGTATAAGATTATCTCTTTAACGATAAACAAATATTGAATGTTCGTACCGAATACTCTTTCATCGTTGATGTTTTTGATGCAATACCACAGCCCAGCAGGGAATGTCGAAACTAAGATGTGAAGATCGAAGAAGAACGAAAACCACGTGGTAGGTTGATGTTCAGATACTGAGGCGATAATTGGGATGTGAATTTTCGCATAGCCTGTATCCCAAAGAGAGTAGAACCTAAAACAAGAATTAACAGTGTATCCTCGTCAGCACCTTGCACACGGGAGGCTTTTTCTTTTGATACAAGGCTTGATTAGCATATTCTCTAAGTCTTGCTGTATTTGAACGTTCACATATAATATCCATCATCACAGTCAATAATTCGCTTAAAACCATTGAAAACAGACTCCATTTGTTTTTCAAAGACTTGACAGTCTCTAGCTATTATTTCAAGATTTCGTAACCATAGATTTTCTCAAAGACGAGAGATGGCTGGTTCATATTTAGTCGTAAGCACAGAAGGTTGCGAGCGATACAGTCCGTAAACCTTCTTCTGTGAAGGCTTGTAACAGGTACTTTGTTTCAAAATTATACACGGTTATGCTTACCTTCCGCTCCACGGAGCAATATATCCAGCGTAAGTGAGAAGTACAACAGCTAAAAATACTACACTTGCTGCAATAAGTGTACCAAATATGACTAGCGATTTAAATTCAGACTTTGATGTGACTGACTGCAAGTGTTTCAGGAAACACACGGCAAACATCAATGCAAAAACACCTGAAACATAATTCGTATTCTATAGAAAAACGACGTTTCGAGATTATTTGTATGGTAAAAAAAATATTTCTTTGCCTACTGACGTAACTAAAGTGGCACAATAAGAAAAAATACTATGAATATGGAATGAAAAGCTGCAACCCAAAATAAGGTGGAAAATATATGATACAGGGTGGCGCATCGAAAACGAAACAGACGCATTTACTGGCAGCTCAGTTTTTTTTTTTGAAAAACGCTCCGACCTGTCGATTTTGTTTTCGAGGCGGACACAAGGTTGGCAAAAAATTACGTCAACACGGCCCCCTGGGTAATCTTAAATGGAAAGGGGATTCGAGTGATACCTTATTTTAAAGGTCTTTCAATTCCCCTTATAATGATGTAACATGTATTTTACTTCAGTTCAGTAGTTTTGAAGATTTATTGATTTAAAGCTTAAAGTAGACTTTAATAGGTACATCAGATTGGTTTGTACTACTTTCAGAAGAAATTTGACTAAAAGAATTTACTTAATGAGTAAATGTTTTCTTCACTACGCCCATGGTTTGTTTATCATTTGCGTCTGTTTCGTTTTCGATGCGCCACCCTGTATAACCTTTTTGGGTATGCGAAAACGTGTATCCTCCACTAGCGATTCTATATAACAACATTGTTTCAAACAAATTAAAACAATTACCTCCGGCAGCCATATGCTCGCTAGTACGTATCGGCTGGAATCCAACGAAAGGAATCTGCATTGACAGAATCAGTCCAAGAATATAGAACGTCGTGTAACTAACAAATAATTTATTAGAATATCTACCCATCAATAATAATACAAACACGTGTAGAGGGATCAGGTTTATGATGAATACGTAGCCGCCCCATGCTGATACCTAAAATATTGGAAAAAAACACTATAATATGATTCTAGATTTTGTACTGAGTGTTTCAAATTCGATTCTGAACATTAGGATTCGGTTAAATGGGGGGAAAGTTGCACAGGTAACTAAGAAATGAGAACTAGAAAGGTTGGCAATACAGAGACGCAAAGAAAACAAATTTTCACAAAATGTTATTCCCTCCTGACATTTATTGTGATGCGATTTCAAAATGTGCAATTTTTGCACAGGTGAATACAGATTTTAATCCTGATTTTGTCCGATGCAAAGTAATCCATATCCCTTAGCCTTTCCAAATGGCGGGACTCGAATTTGAAATACCCGGTATAGTATTAAAGAATATTGTCAGAAAAAATTTAGGGCAGATTCGGCACGTAAAAAAATGAAAAGTTCATAGGTTAATTCCCGTCTTTTATATGCTTGTCTGTAAGCGAAAAATTGGTATTAGCAGTGTCCTTTACTAAAAGCAATCTTGTTTTTGCTTGAAAAGCGCTTCTTGAAGTTTTGTTCGTTAAAAAAAGTGCCAACACGTGTGCTTTAGTCTGAAACTTGTACAAAAATTGTACTATTCAATCTTATAATGGAGGAGTATCACCAAGAGGACCTACAATCTACAATGGACGACTGATTGAAAACATGAACAACGTATCTGAACTCCAAAAAGCAGATTTTACAAAAAATCAATGTGGATTTAAGATGCTGATACTAATCTTTGTAATGACCAGTGAGTACTGTTTTTTTTTTCGCTACACAGAAACTTGCATGAACGCCACTGATGTAAGCCCTTTTAAAGTAGCAAAACTCATACCAAAGCCTCAATCTGTTTTCTAGAAATGTAAGGTAAACCAACAAAGACAGATATAGTTTTAACAGTCTGCATTATCGAATTGAAGCACTGAAGATGGATATATGGGGTTGTCCAAACCGGACGCAGGAAAGTAAACGCATATTAAAACAAGAAAGATTGATATTCAAATCAAGTTGGGTACTTTATTTTGAAGGTTCATTTATACCATTTATGCATGAAAAATAATATCGCTCAAATGTTCACTACGACTGGATTTACAGATGTCCACGCGATAGTCGAAATTTTAAATGACATTTTGCAACATTGTCGGTTCCATGGCATTTATCTCGGCAATGATATTGTTTTTGAGTTCTTGGAGGGTGGCTGGTTTGTTGACGTAGACTTTGCTTTTCAAATATCCCCATAAAAAGAAGTCAAGGGAGTCAAATCGCATGATCTTGGTGGCCATGGCACATTTCCTCTGCGCGAAATCACGCGATCACCGAAGAAGGACTGCAATCGATGGATATTGACGTTGGTTGTGTGGCATGTTGCACCGTCTTGTTGGAAATAAACATCGTCCATATCCATTCCTTCAAGTTACGGCAAAAAATAGTCCTCTATCATCACGTGATATCGCTCAGAATTGACGGTAACGGCGTCCCCGGCCGCATTTTCGAAAAAGTAAGGTCCGATGGTGCCTTTTGACCACAATGCACATCACACAGTCACTTTTTGAGGATGCATCGGATGCTCTTGATACTCATGGGGATTTTCGTTCGCCCGGATGCGGCAGCTTTGCTTGTTTACCGTCCCATTCAAAGTGAAATGCGCTTCGTCGCTGAACATGATTTTTGCTGAAAAATTGGCATCAATTTGGCGGTGTTCAAGGAGCCAATCTGAGAACGTTCGGCGCGAAAAATGGTCGGCTCGACGCAGCTCTTGCGTCAATTGGATCTTGTAGGCGTGTACATTCAAATCCTTGTGGAGAATGCGGTGCAAACTGGTTGATTTGCCACAGAACCTGTTGCCTCGAATTTACGCACCAGACGACCGATGGTTGTTTCGTTTGGGCGGTAGTTGCGACCGAAATGTTCACGAAGCGCGCGAAACGTGTTTTTTATTTTTGCACCATTTTTGTAGTGCTCTTGAATAACTTTAATGCGGTCTTCAATCGAATACGACTCCATAGCGATCAATGGTAAACATTCAACTAACAAAATGACATGTCGGTGACAGAAAACAAAGATGGCGTCTATGTCAAATTGACGTTTACTTTCCTGCGTTCCTATTGGACAACCCTATATAAGTCCAATTAATGTATTTTTTAATATCAAATGGTGAAAACATCACCGGCCATGATGTGACGTCACACAAATTGTAAACAAAGAAACGTCCGTATCTCGTGGAGTAGCGTTGTCTTCTCAAGTTATTTCTGAAAAAAAACTCCTAGTCAACGTAAAAATTTATCGTTTTGCCGTTTTAGTGAAAAAAAAAACGAGCATGGACGTTGGTTTCGGAAAAACAGAAAGCATAAATTTGCCGAAAGTTGATGAATGGTAATTTTTCTAAATATATTCTGATATTTTTGGTCTAATAGAACATATATCAACTATTTAAAACCTACTTAAAAAACGTATCAACTAGCCTATTTTTAAAGGGTGTCATTTTGCAAATTGTTAGATTGTAAGTTTCACGATTATTTTTCTGAAACACCTACCATATAAAAATACGATAGGGCAGCAGCCACAGCCCAAAAGATTGACCCCGTCTTCACAGACTTGATCCAAAGGTAGTATGTAAACTGCAATGCGAAAATTGCAATACCTTCATTATCGTAGCTCCCTGCTACCGATCTGCTAATGTAACCTGGCACTATGGCTATGAAACAGGCTGCAAACAGACCTGCTCCAGCAGACCATAATTCCTTTGTCAGGAAGTATGTTGAGATTGCTGTCAATCCGCTAAAAGTATACAATTTATTATGGCCATGCTACAGACAAAAAAGTGTTGTCAAATCTAAAAGTCATATAAAGATTTATTTAGTATGTTTTGCTATATAAACAGAATAATAATAAACAACTTAGAAATTTAGTAAATTCAAGTCATATGACGTACATGCTGGGTAAGCTATCATTGTAGATTTAACACCATGCATGAAAATTTTGGAGTTTCAGTATTATAGGCTTAAATGCAATTCTACAATGTGGCTACAACATATACATCATACTTCTATAAATGTTTCCTAATGAAAGAAAGACACCCACTACCATATTGTTTTTATTTGCACATTTGGTTTCAAGTTTCAACTGTCTTGTGTTAGATACCCAAGCAAAACTTCAGATGTTTCTGAAAGGCCACTTACCTGAAAACAGGTGCTAAAAACACACAAATATCTCGAATGTGGACATTTATGTGTAGTAAATGCAGTACATAATGAATGCTGCCTGAGGTAAGCATAAGGCCAGGATAGACTGTACCACCTACAATTCGACCTAGTGGGTACCAAGCTCGCTCGTCAAACCAATTCAGAAAGTTGTAAAAGCCATTTTTTACCATATAAGCTGTAGCTCGGTAGTTGAACCTGTGAAAGAATGATAAATACTATTTTCTTCTTCCTGCATTCTCAAGTACAGATAAGCAATTAAAAAGGTTGCTTCAAAGTACTAAGAAGGATATTAATAGAGAGAAAAAATAGATAGGAACATTATATGTCTGACATATTCCAAAATTAAAAATATAGTGTGTAGTATGGTAGGTAGGAAGAAGAGTTGAAAAGCAAAATTTCCAAGTTATTTCTTGTTGTTACCAGTTAACAATTCTTGGCACACCTTAATAATTTGAGATACTGGATTTTAATGCACCTGTCAGAAGATCATGGAGGGTTATGAGGGTAGAATTTAAGGTGAAAACTAGGTCTCCTGGGACCCCAATGGGTCCTAACATCAAAAAATGATACACCCTCTATCTAGATTTTAGAACTTATGATAATAGGCCTGATAAAATATTCTACAATTCTTATGGGTTTCCAAGTTTTTTATAGTGTATCAAATTAAATAACAAACTACTATACTACTAAGAATAGTCACAAGGCTATAGATTACAACCATTGCAAATATGAAACAAAACTGCAATCCTTTAAAAGTGATAATCCCTGATGATAGATCTTCTTTACTGTAGTAAGTATTTTAATCTCAAAAGTGATCATTCAGTACATACTTAAAATGTTGTTCACATACAACTTATGAAAATCAAATGAAATTGAGCTGATAACAAACAGTATCTTTGGCAACCTTAATGCAATAAAAGCTATCTTTATTGTGAGCCATGATTATGGTATGATTTATCTAAATTAAAATCTGGCATAGATAAAAAAAATAGCCACAAGAGTAAACTTAATGTTTTTCTTGTTGCTACTTTGCATGGATAAGTGATGCAGAAGCAGATTATTTGTGTTGCTGAAAATATTTGCAGATGTCAAGTTTTTTAATGTATGTTTCCTCACTCTTTCTGAAAGTGCAGAAGCTGGAGACTCTTTATGAACACTACTGATTCAACTTGAAATCTATATTATGTCTTTTAGCAAAGTATTATAAAAAAGTTGTTGCCCATGATCAATTATTTCCTGCTGCTTATGCAACATGTAGTGCATGCAGTTGGGTGAGGGGTTGATAGAGACCATAGTTAATAAAAGAAAAATCAGACTAAAGGTATGAATGTTACTATTCAAAGGCAATCTTGTGCAAAGGGCAAAACCATATATCTATACTTATAGCAATACAATTATTAGTGCATAACTACAACCTAAAATCTACAAGGGGGCCCTGTGGCATCCCATATTCCATTGAGAAAGCAGTCTGACTTATGCTTTCCAATTTTCACTTTTACGAGATTTATCGACCAAAAATCATATAAAAACGAATACTTTCAACGTAAGATCACATTATCGCAACATATATAGCTTCCACGTGAATATAACAGTAATGATACAGAAACAAACAGATAAAATACCTAGTATCGGCTTCATTCCAATGTATACGTAACAAATATCGAAAAATCAATGCAGTGCCTATTAAGTACGGTACGCGCTGGAAGGTTTTCAAGAACGGCTAATATGAAAGCATTGTGCCTGAGATCGAAGGGGGTGCGAGTATATAAAAAGAAAAACTCACCAGGGATCGAATTCGTGAATGATACTCTCGAACCGTATGACGGCAAAGAGTCTGCTGGAGAAGCCGGCGATCCATGCTAGCAGCAAAATCACGAATATGATCAAACTGCTTATGCCTGTTTTACTATTTAACTTGGAAATTGGAGATTTTTTCGTGCCGGCTATGACCATCTTTGCGAATCAAAAACATGACACGCAGACAGCCACTTGAGTCAAGAGGTTACTCGTCATCACAAAACACAAAATTTATGGGCGATGTCAATTGTCATACAGCATGGGATAGCAGGATTTTAGCGGCATCTCTTATCATAACATTCAACTATGCAAGTGGATTAAGCATAGGTGTTATCACTCATAAGTGTTTCCCTTCTGCGTAATAGTTAGGGCCACCACTGGAGACAAACAATATTAGATAAATGTGTATACTAACACTCACAAAAGGTAATTTACAAATTGGGCTATGGTACATTCTGCATAACGAACGCCATACGGACTTGATTCCTGTACCAATTTATTTTTTCTAAGGGACCAGATGCAATGTGTTAGAAGAAAAAAAATAATATAAATATTTTCTATTTTTATTTTCATTTCATTGGTTTGTTTATATTGGCGTCCTTCTACTGTCGTAATCTTGGAAATATTTTGATGAGATGAGAAGATCCATGTACATATAGGTATGAGCAAAACACACGGTCGGAGTAAAGATAAGATGGCCACGCAAGACAACTGTGGAAATGTATTCTACTAGTCTCTAGAAGACTATCCGTAGCGAAATTTTTGCCGAAATCGTTGCACAACACTTTTTACTCTACTGTCTATTAGTATCCGTCTTATACGCATAGATATTAGGCATTCATTTTGAGGAAGTTAAAAATGGACAGCTTGATAACTGGAATCCAACTGATAAGTCGTGGATCATGTGGAATTACAGACAGACGCACCACATCCTTAGTCTTGTTGGACACTTGGTGGCAACGTAAACATCGAGTCGCTTCGTGACCGGAAGCAGACGCGCGGAGTAGCAGCAGGAAAGGCGCGTGGATGACTACCGGGCCGTACCGTATCGCCGCAGCGAGGTACAGCACTCACACGCTTGTCTTTCGGCAACCGTCGGCGCAGCGGAATGTCTACGCGTTCACAGTTCCGTGCAGAGCTCTATTCGGTTTAGCTACTTTTTTTAGTAGTGGTGTTCACTATAGGGTTCTCGATTGTGTCTCAGTGGTGCTTTACAGCTGTGACGTGTGTGCGTCAAGTTTCGCCAAAGTGTTAATAAGGTCTGGTTCAAACTTTTCTGAGGAAAACAGGATATCTGTGCAGCAAATTGGTGAGCCTTGCATACTCATCTTCTTGTGTGTTAGGGTTGACATCCTTTGTTTTTTTAATAAATGAGAATTTCAATAACGTTGTATAGTAGACGACAACGATATTGTATTCGTTTAAGCCAGAATTGTGGAACGATTTAATTGTTCTTGACCTGATACAATTAATCTTAGTAGTGACGGTTGAGGTTTTCCAGGGGTTTTCCTCGCCCAAGTGCGAATGCAGTCACTAAAAAACCATATCCCCTAATAAAGAGTAGAAAAAACGAAAATCGAACTTTCTATCCTCCCCTAGTTGGTGCTTACGTTAAGAATATACAATCTTAGATAAATGTGTATATTAATAATAACATCATGATCCTTTGCAAATTGTTTCTGTACTGGAAGCCACGGTACAAGCTTTTTGATACGTTGTCATCTCATGATCGCAAACATTTTCGAATTTCATGTGATCAACTTTTTTTTCGATATTTTTAAGTTTCTAACCGTGTAATCCTTGGGAGGTAAGCACCAATTTTGACGAAATTTTCGAAAATCAGTTCAGTGGGGGCGCGGATAAAATCAATTTATTAATTTTTCTACCGTTTTCGCTTTCTAAGTATCATTATTTGTGTTCCGTAATATCAAGAGTGGTATACTCAAGGGGAATATACCTAGGATATTTGAAAATAGATGTGTACCTAATCTGTGGAGAATGCTGTGCAAATGTGTAATTCTAATTGACCTTATTCATTCACACACCATTTAGGCATTTCTTATATAAACCTAGAAGTAACTGAAATTCTCAACTAACCATACATTTAAGAAAAGATTTTGGAGACCATGTCCGCGTTGCCCGTATGTATGAATGTTATTTTATTGAAAGCACATTTCCAAAAATTTTACCAGTGGGCAGTAAACTATCTCTCAGATTAAAGTTTTTGTTGAAAATATCAGCAGTCAGTCATCACAAAGACACCTTCATTGGTTTTGTAAATGGCTAGGCAGCTACCCTACTGTCCTCTAGATGGCGCCACAGACATCACTTAGCAGAAAAAAGATGACAGCTGGCCGAGCCGTGCCCTAGTGAGCAAGCGCGGTTGCCGAATGTCGATATGTTCATTTGCCGTGTTTATTTACTACTAAAATCTACTTAAATTTTTGGTTATACATAACAAAAAATGCAGACCAGTGCTTCCGGGTAAAGTGAATTTGCACCTCTACTTGCATCAGCGTTTTCTGCGTGCGCGATAAAGTGAACTGACGATATAGATCTTAGTGGCTGCAGCTGTTTTGTCCGTAAAAGGGACACATCTAGTGTGCTGTATTTATATTGGTAAGTTTTTATACTGTAGTGCAATATAGTTATAATATTTAGCTTATACGACTGAAAAAATCTCCTATCTTAGCATTGGTAATGATTTTACAAAGCTAGAATGGTAGTTGGAGTTATTGCAAGAGCTTTAAAGCAAGTTCCACACCTTGATTATACATGATAAATTATTCAATTCAATTTTCATATTCACCTGGGCATACGCCTAGCCTAGCCCTTCTCAAAAGGGTTTTTTGTATTCTTTATTTCCTCTTCGTTACGTGCCTTTGTAAAAGTTTGATCCTCATTTGTTCCAAGCAGATACAAATGATGGAAATTTGATTTCAAATACCTAAGAATGTGAACTAATCTGTCTGTCTTTGGAATACATATTTTTGTATTTAATTGAAGTCAAGATTGGAACCTATAAGCACTATAGCATGAAGAAACTATCCAGTCATTATTTATTACATTATCAATATTCATATTTACTTGGACAGCTTTTTCCAAGGGTTTTATTTTTGTCTGGGCTTTATTTCAAACTTTTGTGAAATTGAATCACAAACAATGCTTAAATTAGAATTGTAATTTCTAAATGCAAACTAGTGTGTCTTTGAGGTACCTAGTTCTATATTCATTTAGAAGTTAAATGCCCCTACTTCAGTACTATGCTTATGTGGAGGATTTTCCATAATATTTAACTTAATATTGTCGATATGACCATTGAGCGAAAATCAATTAGAATAGAGGCAGCAACATCACATTCTAAGACTGAAAATAATTCAAATTTTTCACTTAATTTTCATTTGTGAGATTTCACAAATTTCTATTGAATAACTAGAAAATCCTAATCTACTTTAACACTAACACAACTGTTATTTTACTCCGAAAATGGTTTTGTTGCAAGTGCTATGTATATACGCGCCCCTTATCACTTCAGTTGGCCCACTTCAAGATTTGTACCAAAATATGCCTTTATAAACTAAACATGATGAAACTATTTACTTCTAAAACAATTTATTTTCTCAAAAACATTTTAGATACACTCTAGTCGTAAAAATACATATTTGAAATCACTTAGACCTATAACTACTAGAACATTTGAACAAATAAACAATGTGCGAATAAATGCGCGAAGTTAACAAAGCAACAATTGAAAGATTACCATTGGGTAACATCACCTTTATTTTTTATTACGGCTGAAATTCTTTGGGGCATAGTGTTAACCAAGTTTTGGCAAAAATGTGGTGTAAGACACTCCCATATTTCTTGAAGCTTTTTCATCTTGTGCCACAAAGTTTCAATAGGTGACAGATCTGGACTGCTAGAAACCCATTTCAAAAGTGGTACATTATTTTCTTCCATCCACTTTATAGCCTTTTTTGAGGTATGGCACGGTGCATGCTGAAACACAAAATCTTGGCCGGATGTCAAACATTCTTCCATCACTGGTAAAAGCGATTCTTCTAAAATTGCCAAATATTTGTTAATAGTGGCTTTTCTGTGGCCTATAAACAAGTTGTGCAACTTTAGGGTTTTTACTTCACTTTTTTTTATAAGAAAACTTACCTTGCAAGTGCTAAATCCCAGTTTGTGGGCCTCTCTATGAGTTGTGGACCTCGAAATTCTCCTTCCAACAGCGTCACTCGACAGAGCACATAATTGTAAATAATTGGCACGCCTGTTTTTCACGATTATTCTTCTTAATGCTCTTCGGTCCGCATTTGTGATATTACTTTTTTTCACATATCGTTGCTTAATATTATTTGAACCAGTTACGTTATATCTTCTAACAATATTTCTCACACTGTACCGCGATAAGTCTAACAAAGTTACAATTTCTGAGTTTGATTTCCCAGAATTAAAAAACTTAATTATCAGTAACCGAATGTTCTCACTAATAACCTTTCCTCTACCCATTTTGAAAACCTTAACTACCCAAAACTATTTTAAACGTATTCTGACAGCTGTGATTAATAAAAACAATTGTCTTGGCTTTTATTTTTCACAGCCATCTATGCGTTATAGTCTTATTTTGCATTGAAATGAAAATAGTTTGGTATGCTGTAATTGCAACATGTGTTTTTTTTATGCTGCAAATTTGATTAGGGCGTGATAAAGTTGGTGTTTTCTACTATATACTATCAAAATATTGATTGTTAATATTTTAAACCTATAACACCCAACCACATTTTTATTATTTGTGTTTGATTAGAAAAAAACTAACATTCTAATAGTTGGTCCAACTGAAGTGGGAAGGGGCTCGTATATAAGAGCTGTTATGCACCAAAACACACTCACATGTATCACAATATCCAAGAGACCAATAGCTCAATTTTTTTTTTCGATTTTTCGACGGTTGTATTTAAATTTAGCGCCTAAAATCACCTACGTGTAACAACGCGTGATGTAAATGGACCTCAAAAGTTTAGTAAAGTTTTGTTAGGAACTCTATAAGAAAAATTTCAAAAATCTCTGCTTAGATCTCGATAAAAAATCGTTTTGCGACGTCAATATAGGACAATAGACGACTATCGGGTGTCCCAAATCACTAATTTTGTACCTAAAATTCGGCTCCATGATATCTCAGTGTGTTTTGGTGATCATATTTGAATTCAGCGCTCCCAATAACCTTATTGTATAAAGTTTCATTCGTTTGTAACAA